AGCCGCGCAGGCAGAGGAGCGTCGCGGAGCCGCGGGAGCCCGTCCAGGTGTACGGCCAGGTGAGTGCCTGTGCCCCGGGGCAACCCTCCCTCCTGCACCAGGCGGGGACGGGGGTGCAATACCCGCAAAGAGCATCAGCATGACCCTGCTCGCTTGCAGAGCCCGGGGATGCGGGGCAGGGGGGTGCGCGCACTGCTCTGCGCTGTACAGTTTTGGCACTTCAGGATCCAGGGAAGGGGGCAAGCCCCAGCTCTGCCTCGTCCTGCCTCCACCTATTTCTAGGTGCTTATCCAGGAGGTGGTGGGTGGTGAGGGGATGGCTAAAGGAGTGCCACAAATCGGTCTCGGCCCTGCAGAATTTAAAACGCCGGGTTCATCCGGGTTAGGCTGCTCGAGGCTCCTGTCACTCGTAGGACCAGTTACCTGGAGGCATCATTTTCTTTTTAAAAGAGGGGGTTTGCTTGGATGCAGTGAAACGCTGTAGGAAACTGAGGGTGCGCTCTGTGCCCTGCTCACCTCCAGCAGGCAGGGCTTTCAAAGCCGCGGTTAGGACACGGAACAGGTTTGGACACTTGCTGCTCTGCAAATACCTTCCGCTCCCAGCTGGCGTTTTGCCCTCTCTCTCTCCGGTGTACGGAGCACACCAGGCCTTTCCCCGTAGCGCAGAAACGAAGCTGGTCTTTACAGGCAGACAGGGCATCAGAGAGTGGTCTCAAATGCTTTTGCACCAAAAATAAGCATCCTGAAATAACAGGTTTATAGGAGCGAACAGTGTTGCGGCATGAAAACATTTCTCCCCGGTGCAGTTAGTCAACCAAACACTTCAGCAGTGCTCTTTGGCTAGTGCATTTTGAGCCATGCGTGCTACCCTAAATCGTCTTATAAGCAGATTTCCCTTTCAGTCATGTGTTACTAACAGGTCATCCTGCCCCTCCAGAACAGGGCAGACATCCTGAAGACGGTTTCTAGGACCCTGCTCTAGGAAACAGCTAACGGGGAAGGAAGGTGGGCATGCACTGTAGTGGGAAAACCCCCACTTGGCCTCCATGGCTTGACGGATTGGAGGCATTTGAGTGAGAGAATACCTAGGTTGGTTGCTTTTTTGTAGCAAGCAGATGAGTAATTTTCCCCTTTGCACTTCACTTAAATCATCCAGCCCTTGGCCCATAAAAATGTCCCAGCCTTGGCTGCATTTTAAACAGGGCTTTCAGAACCCAGGGGAAGGGTTTAAGAATCATCAACCCTCGTGATCAAAGAAGGAGAAAGACATTTCCATGTTAATATCCTTGCTGTGGCTTCGATACCGAGCAAGTTTCACTTCATTTCAGATTGCCGAGGCTTTTTTTTTTTTTTTTTATTTATCAAATAGCAGCTCTCACTTTAAGGAGAGGCAGGAAGGAGAGTTGCACCACAGCTTGCTAGGTGTCTGCTAGAGGCAGCCCTGAAGCAAAAAAAAAGAGACAGCCTCTCATTTACAAGACGCTGCCTTGCTTCAGAAAGGATTCGGATCATTGCCCTTCCTTGGGCTTCCTTCTGAGCCAAGCCACGGTCAAAAGGTTAGTTCAGACGGAGGTGCCAGCCCTCCCAAAGAACAGTGCACACTTCAGTTCCCTCCTCCCTTCCCCGGGGTCTGGTTTTGACACAAGCTGGAACAAAAAGCCCTTGAGCTCCCAGCATCCCCGCAGCTTTCTGCCAATATTAGGAGGGGGAAAGCAAGGTGGGAAATAGGATGTGGCATGACGGGGGCTGATCCCATGGAAAAAGGAACAGCAGAACGACCCCGCCAGCACCACTTTTCCAGCAAAGAAGCTGGGAAAGAGCAGCGGTGGTGGGAGTGGGGTAACCCCACTCCCAAGACCATTTCTCCCATATTCAAATTCCCTTGTGTAGAGAGTGATTTACACACTGGACAGAACTGCTGGGTTTTCTGTACCATCCCCAGGACTCATCCCATTGACAAAGCACAAGGAGGTTATTTCGGGGAGAATGTGATGCTTCCTTGTTTGCTCCTCTATCAACTCCCACTCAGCCTCCTGGCAGTTTTATCTGGCCCTCCTGAAGGGGACAGCTTTTGCAACATTTGGTTAATGTTCAAGTGACTATGCTTTCTGCTTGGTCCTGGTCCGCTTGGTCCAGGAATACCAAGTCAGAAAGACCAGTGAGAGTTATTCAGTTCATCCCTGCTCCACTCTCTTCTTGTTGGCTACGGTGCTCAGAGAGCTTTGCCTGGAGAACTGAGTCACTGCTGCTAGCAGCGTGACATGCAGCTTCACACTTCACTTCAATACCTCGCCCTCCTGCTACTGCAGAGCAAAATGTGAGACATCTCTAGCTCAGGTGCCACATGGCACCGGGAGAGCATTACCTTCCAACTCCACTTCCTGCAGTTTCAGGTGCAGATCCGCTTGTCCCAGCTCTCGGAGCCAGGATCTGCAGCCTTTCCCATGACATTTTCCTTTTGGAAAAAAAAAAATCCCTCCCCACTCCAATCCAAACCCAGGCAACTCTTTTACTGAGTATATACACTGTAAGAGAGTTATTTTGCATAACCATAGTGCCCGAGGCCTCGCAGTGTGGTCCGAGTCAACAAAGAAACATCCTCCTTCCCACTCTGCGGTGTCACAGAAAGACTAGGCAAAATGCTTTCGGTTGGGGGCAATGTTAAGAAAGGAAGCCGTCAAATTAGTGCTGTTGAGTGGAGTATTTTGATCAATCGGGCCCATATCATCCCAGCGGGAGACAAAGACAACATATTGCTTGTTTTCAGTCTGCTGTTCAGGACACCTTCTGGCTGCAGCTTTCCTGGCAAAGTTTCATGCAGCCACATCCAGCAATATGCTGTTACTGAGTCAGCCCCTCCCCATATAAACCCTTTGGATTCCTCCAGCGTCTCGACTCGATTCAGAGGGGCAGATAGGCAGAGGCGGTTCTCGTGGGCTGTTAAGTTTGATCCGGATCCCCCCCACCCACTCGGGGCATCTCATTTGGTCGCAGACCCACTTCATGCACGCGTTATGTCCTCCCCACAGGCTCCCTCCCTGCACCAAGGAGTCCGGTCCCTTCCTCCCTAGAGGCAGGCGGACAGTCCAAAGAAAATGAAGCACTAGGCACCTCATCTATTCAGAGCTATTTCCACTCGAGCCTGGCTCTGCTATTGCCCCTGGGACTGTGGGCAAACTACAGCTGGGGAAAGCCAGCTAAGGGACAGGTATTCCCACCTCCAAGGAAATGCTGCAGTGGGAACTAGGAGCCGAGGACTGCTCAGACCACTTGCAAGGGATCTACAAGCAAGTTGGCAAAAAGAATTAAGGTTAGAGACCCCACAGGCTTCTTCAGGAGACAGATGACTTAGCACATGCGGGCTGTCCTGTTTGATCCTAAAATGCTTCTGTCTGCCATGACTTGAGAGCAAGAAAGGGATGCAAGCTTTCTTTGGGAACAGCCCCTTGGCTTTATTCTTTCCCCAGAAAGAATCCTAGCAGTCTCCCCCCCCCCCCAAGTTATTTAACTAATATTTGCATGGGTAGTTTGTAGCACGTGGGTCCCGTTTTCAGAAGCCAGGAGCACGTGCACGTTGAGATCAGCTCCACAGGAGCTCAGCACCACTGTGCTCAGAGCTGCCACGGATTTGAATTAGGGCAGCGCTGCTAACAATCAGCAAGTCAGACTGTCGGGACTGTGTCCTTCTCCTTTTCTTACTTATGCCAAGACATCAGCAGATGTAGGCCTGAGCACCGGAGCCAGGAGCCTGTCACTCTCAGGACAGAGTGGTTTTTGTTTCTGTACGTAGCGTTCACCTCCAAGGACATTTTGGCAAGCAGAACAATAATGCGGGAGAGTTCGCAAGCAAGGAGCAGTCATACCCCACTTTGGAGCTGTGCCTGTCCGATGTACAGTGCATGCTCTTCCTTCCCAACACCTGCACAGAAGGGTTTAATCAGCAGTCTGCCCAGTGGTTGAGATCAAGATGTTAGAAAGCAAAAGAGCAGAAGCAGGCAGATGAACTAACCAGTCCAGTGTTTGGGGGATCTTTGGCATCCTGTGGCTTTGGATACGGAGCCATCTGCAGCTTGCTCACATGCTCATTATCCAGAGGTGCTCAACCTTTTGGCCCCTAGTCCTTGCACCTCCAATGCCAAATTTTTGGACTTGTGGGGAGTCATGTGGGCCAAATGACAGCTCTGTGGACTGGATCTGGCCCATGAGCCAGAAGTTGAGCAGCCTTGTCCTGGATGCTTCCTCCCCTTGGAGTGGGGGAAACCTACTCATGAGCTCTGCAACCAGAGGGGGAATTTCAATGGCCTGCAGTAAAGGTGACCTTTATGGTGCTTGCTTACTTGGTCTCCCCAGCTCTGATGGAAGCATAGGCAGGGGACACATTAGGGGATAGGATATATAAAGCCTTGCTCCTTGAATGCTCCCTCCCACCACCCCTTGTTCACTGCCAAGCCTCAGACCCGGCCGGTCCTCCTTATCTCTGTTTCTGTGTCCTCCACGGATAGAAACTCTGATGCCCTTGCTGTCCCCTGCAGTCCATCAGGTTACAGCAGCTCAAGCCAATCTTTTCTGCTCATCAGCACATTTCCTTTCTTAAAGAAACTTCCTCCATCATACCAAGTCCATGCTTCTTGCTATTGCTGTCAAGGCCTTTTGCAAATATGCCCCCCTACCCCCAGTTATAATTCATACCATTAAGCTTCTCATTTTATCACCCCCTTAGTACTTCCTTTGTCTGCTGGTAAAGCTAGCTTAGATATCCAGTGTGTCCCTCTCCCCCCACTCCCCACATTGGCTGTAAATGGAGCATCTTCCCCAAGCTCTGTCTGCAAAGCTATTTAGTACCCAATTTTTTAAAAAAGAAGCGGGATCTAACCCATCTTAAGCTGATGACTAGCTCAGCCACCTGCTAGGTGTCTCACCCCTGGCCCTTACGGGATGTATATGCTTTGTGGCAGATCGCCTTTTTATTGTATTTTTTTGCACTTGTATGGCAGGCAGCATGCTGGTGCTATTCTGCAGCCTAGATTAGAGGCTTATTTGATAATGAGATCAAATAATTTGGGTCTTCTAGGTGTTACATTTGCCAGGGCTGGAGAGAGAGAATTGCTATGCAAGTTCCCTTTCAAGCTACTCAAAACTCATGATGCCTTTTTTTTTTTTTTTTTAATGGTGCCAAGTTACTTCTCTGCCTGGATGATATTGCCATTACAAAAAGCATCTCCATAACCTTTAGATAAAAGTCCCTCCAGACTGAGAAGGAGCACACACTCTGAGATGAAGTGACTTACCTGAGGGCAGGCTATGGCTCAGATAGAGGCAAGTTTAAGCTTCTGGTTCACTGCCTGCGCTCAGGGACTTTTGAATTTGATCACATTTGAGTTTGAGAGATTACATTTAGTTAAAATGCAAATCACTCTGCAGCAGTGGTCGCAGACTTTTTTAAAGTAGCAATTAGATTAAGCACAGTCTCCTCTCTGCCTCTGCTCAGATTTACAGATATGGACAAAGAGTATTCTTATTTTTAAGGGTATAGACATTTGCTTGCCCAGACAAATCTCCCTCTGTGTGAAAGCGGAAATCAATTTTGCTACATTTGAAATGAACCATACTTAATTTTGACCTAATTTGCCAACCCATCAATCACAGACCTTCCAGGAACAGTTTAACCTCCCAGTGTCTGGGTGTCAGTTGTAGCCTAGTACAAATGGCTATTGATGAACTGTTGAGCATTAACCCTTTGCATGGTCAAGGTAACTTTTGCATGGCTCAGACAAAAATTTACCCAGAGCAACTCAGAAGTCAACCAGCTGCTTATCCCACTCACTCCCAAAGGTCAGGTTTTAAAGGCGGTAGAAAGACCAGTCTTTTGTCTACATTTTTCATCAGTAAAGATCCATATCATCCCGGTGTTAGAGAGGGCAGTGGCGGCACAGAGAAGCGAAATGACTTGCTTAACATCACCCAGGAGGCTAGTCACATATTTAAGAGCAAACCAGTAAACCAATTCCCCCCCCACCCAATCATTTACTGCAGCAAACAAAGCACCGAACACTGCGATCAACAACTCTACCATTGCCTTGCAGCCCGCGCACAAACTGTGACCTTGTGGTTAGGATTCGAGTGGGAAGAGGTGGCCTTATCTCTGCCACCGATGCTGGTTTCACGCTGAAACTTGGCAAGGGAGATTATTTGCTTGGGAACTCTTTCGAAACACTGTTCGGTCACATGGTTTCTGTTCCCAGTCAAAACCGGTGGGAGATGCGTGCAAGGTTTTGCTGTGCTCGCTATGCAACACCATATGCCCTCCTGATCTCAGTCTGCAACACCATGGTTGCAGTCAATGATGCTAGGTTTATGCACTTATGTTTGCCATCTGACCACGTCCTTCAGAAGCAGTGCTCAGCTATGATTTGATGCGACCCTAACGCAGCGGCCACAGCGTCTCGGCTGCTGTGTCCAATGCTCACTGCGGAGGAGTAGTCTCCATAGTGTACCGACACCAGGGCAGACTTCACTGCCTCCACTATCGCTTCCTTCCTCTAGGGTCATATTGAGTATCTGAGTTCCCAGGAGCACAGCTTCACCCTGGGGGAAAGATGAGGAACCCACACTATCCAGATCTGTAATGTTTACACAGTTCTGCGGTCTTCAACCCATCATTAAAAAAAAGAAAACCCACGGAGAAATCTGCAGAGAAGCTGTTTCCCCCCCGCCTTGCCCCTAACTGATGAGCGCTGCATAAAAGGGTCACTCTGGCCTTTAGAAAGGATGCTCCGAAATGAATCATTCACGTTTCACAGGAAGTGCAGGGGCATGTACAGATTGTATTTTGAAATATCGTGGTAGGGATAGGCAGATGCTTGGAAGCAAAGGCAGAAGGTATAGCAATAAAGCTTGTTTAGTGGGAAGGCACAAGGAAAGGGCCGTGTGCAGAATACAGCCTGGGAACTACATTAAACCTGTCACTCCTCCTTAACTCATCTGCTGTGCCAGGATGTTAGGGAGTTCTTGGGTAGGCAAGGGGGGGGGGGGGGGGGGGGAGGGGGGAGCAGTGCTTGTGTTGCACATGCAAAGTCATATATTAAAAGGACAGTTGAAGGATAGCATTGAAGGAAAAAAAAGGCCTCTTGCCTGGCAGTCTCACCCCTGACCCCCTAGGCACCAGCACACATGAAAGTGGTACAGCTCTCTCAGACCGCATAACCAAGCCTTGCAAAACATTTAGTCGATTATTTTTCAGAGTTGGTTTTGTTGTTGTTGGTTTGTTTTTTTAATGTAACAAGTCTATACAGGCCTGTCTTCTTACCCAATAGCATTTGTAGTATCACAGTTGAAATATAATTGGGAGAACATAGCCAGAGAGATGTTTGATGTTGTGGATCGGTTTGTAACAAGAACACAGAAACCCCATCTGGTCCCAACTTGAGATCTGTGTAGTTTCAAATGCGGTTGTCCTTGGGAAAACGAACACATTCAAATTTTAATAGTGCAGATTTATTTTTATCTCCTGGTACTGTTGCCAGTGATCACATTCAGTTGTTCAGGGCCTGTCTCCTCCCTCAAGTTACTGTATGGAAGGTCCACATGGATTAGGAAACAATGAAATTACTGTGCACATGGTGTTGCCAAATGCACAAAGTGAACAATAGAGAAAACTGGTTTCCCTTTGCATCCCAGATCTCCCTTATTACAAGGTAAAGATTTTCAGGTCGGCAATTTAAGGCCAGAGCAACTCTTTAAGAATCCAGTCACTATTTTCCCCTCTTTATTCTGAGAAGTAGGGATCACACTCGTTTATACTTCACATTCAAGATGTGCAACAAAAGATGGGAAGCTATGAATACTTGAGGCACTTTTGGAGGCTGCTGCTACACATACCAGAACTGGAACGGCACAGATGTGCTTTCCACTCAGATTTTATTCCCCCAAAGAATAAAAGGCTCTTGGACTCATCCTGCAGCTGGAGTCTCTTGCAACATTGGAGTCAGAAAGTTAGAGTGCTAATTTTGTAACGGAATTAGCAGAGAGATGCACATTTAGCCAAGTGAGCCCACTTCAAGTCACGAACAACTTTAATGACCTAAAAAACACAGTTATATTTGCTGCTCACTTATGATATTCTTACTTTAGGTTCAATAATGCTTCAAGGTACTTTCATAACACTCCCGGAGGGTAAAGTCAAAGCACAGCTAACAGCATTGGGTTCACTAGCCTGCCTCAGTGAGGACTTAGGGGCCCGCTATAGTGGGGAGAGTACAGTCCCCCATGATCCAGGCGTTCAGACCCCTCTTGCCAGGGTTACCCACAGGAGAACCAGTTTGTAGCAGCAGCTTCCTGCAAGCTAAACCACGTCTCCAGCTCATTTTAAGTTTGCCCTGCCTGAGCTAAATCAGTACAGAGCCTGCAAGGACACACTTGGCTTACACAGCAGCACCTCATTAACTAAACTAGATTAGACAAGAGCACACCTTTGGGGACTGCTTGATGTGCGGACAGGGTCTTAGACAACCGAAGAGCTCAAGGGTCATGTTTTCGGTATGAGACACGTTCAGGGCCACTGCTTTTTTTGCAGGTACTCTTAAATATAGGGAGACATTGAATTAGTGCAGATATTCCTTCTCTGCAGGATCCTACAGGCCAGGCTAACTAGATCTAAATCTGATTTAATTTCACCTAAGTGAAAGTGAGCATTCCTTTCTGGAGGAAGTTGAAGCAGCGACTAGACACCAGAGCTTGCTTTAGGATTTCTAAGAACATTATGTCTGGCGCACAGAAGAACCGAAGAGAGCCACCCAGTATCCATTCCCCCATTATCTGTAGTGCTGCATTTGCAATTACCTGCTGGTTTGTGAAACAGGCTCTTGTAGACATCTCATCCTTCCCATTGAAACAGGCTTTGCAGTTAAGGGAGACCACTGTTAAAAGGAACAGATACAAACACTGATGACGCCTAGCAGCAGAGCACGGGCCTAACTACAAGTGGATTTCTATGGTGTAGGCTGTACTCATGTTGGTGTAAGGACATAGGCAGACAAGGTTATTAGTTGGTGTAATAAAAGATATCAGATTTGCCCAACAAGCCTTGTCTGCCAGTGGATTTCTACCACATTTTAACTGGAGTTTTCCCTTCTGGACTCTAGTAGCTTCTGCATTGGAAGGACAGATAAGCATTTCATACATATTTCATAAAAATAATCACTAGGCAAAGACCAGAATACATCCCCATTAAGTGGAAGTTATGCTAATACTGGGTCCCTTAAGCATTACTCACTGCCATTGGCTCTCCTCCGGCTAAAGCAGTTCTGGTGGAAAGCTCCCCCAGTTAACAGGGCATATTGCCCTTTAGTGCATAAGCACTTGCTAATAAGAGCAGAAATGGCTTACTAGGGGAAACATCCCAGCACAGAGAAGCAAGTGATATCTGCAGGAATACCAAGATATTTAGTTTGCTAAGATTCACTTTATACAAAGCAATCAAAGCAGCAGTGTCAGAGATCACCAGCCTGGGGCAGGATTAGGGCCAGCCCCTCCCAAGGGGAGCCTCAGTATCTAACAGGTAACCCCCAGAGCCTTTCAGTTCCTGGCAGAGCTGTTTTGCAAAGTTATAATAAGACCATACCACAACAGACCAGAATCAGGACAGAGGACTTTTAATAATAAAGGCAGGAGCTGGGTGAACTCACCAGTCTTAACTAGATTGAGCAGATCATTCAAGGAGGGCTTAGGAACAAAAAGGGGTCAACCCTCCCTCCTCCAAGTCTCTGTTATAGTACTTACCATCCTACCCTTCAAAAAGGGCCCAGCATAACTTTCCTGTTCCACTTCTCAACACACACAAAAAACCACCACCCCCAAGCACTTCAAGCAGTGCTTTAGCCTTTATGTATAGACTCAGTCCTAAATGAGCTCATTTGAGGTAATGAGATCACCTGGGACCTAACCAGTAATGAGGCTCAGCTGTTTTCCCCCAACCCAGACAGTCTCCTGGTCCTTGGAGTTTGCTTCTACACCTAAAAAACATTCAGGATCCTCCCTGCAAAGCTTTCCCCTGACGGACGCGGGTTCCTGGGCTGAATATACCACCAGCATTCACAGACGGGGCGGTGGTTTGTGTTCTGCGTGCATGGCACAATGAGGTGCTGAGCCTCAGGGGGTCTCATCATACATCATTTTCCCTCTAAGAGAAACACAAAATATTCCTTAAAAATACGACAGCTAGGAACAAAGCATTTTTGGGAGAGGGATGCCAGATCAGGCAAGTCTAGCATCTGACTTTAGGAAATATTCCAAAACTTTCCTCTTCAAAAGGGTCTCCTCCCTGAAGAAACGCACAGGATGGACACCCCCACAATTCTACCATCAAAAAAAACAAAACAAAAAAAGCAAGACTTTAATAGATCTTAACCCTTTCCAGAAAGAAGCAACTCAAACCCAAGGAGCTTTTGGCCCTGAATAGGAAAAGAGCCAAAAACAACATGAAATCTAATGGAAATTTTGCGGTTGTCAGTGATTTTGTGCATCAGGCATCCAGATGCTGCAGCGATAGGCTATGGTATAAAATCCTAACATGGTGTTTTTTCTGTTTTCTGTTTTTGGGTTTGATCCCCAGAGTTTCCTGTAATGATTTGGTAGGGGATTCGGAGTAGACTGCTTCAGGGCATGGGGTGGGCACGCACATTTGGTCTTATGCAGTGGGATACTGTTGTCTCTCAAATGTTCCCATTTAAGTTGGTCTACTAAAAGATACAGAGATACAGATATTGATAAAAGAGACTGGACAAGCACCTAGCTGGGGTTGTCTGACCCCAGCGATCTTTCCTGCCCAGGGCAGGTGGCCGGACTTAATGATCTACTGAGGTCTTGTCTGACCCTAACAGCTATGAATCTATATCAGATTCACCCGAAGAAGCTTGTCTGCCTATGCCCTTACACTAATGCGGCTATAACCTACACCCTCATTTCATAAAACATCTGATTTTTAGCTTCACATTATCTGAGTTTCACACAGATGTGGTGCCCTTCTCTTTGGCTGATGAAAATGATTTCTGGCAAATGAAGAGCCCCGCAGAGCTCAGGCCACTTACAGAGCTATTTGTGCCAAAGGTGGGAATCCTGCATTTCAGGTGTCCCGGAGAAATAGGTTTTTGGGTGTCCCTCACTTTGAGGGTTTTTTTCAAGCTGGGAGAGATGCTGACAAGACAGGCAAGGCCACATGTGTGTGGTGTAGCAACATCACCAAAGTTAACATGGTTGGCCGGTGGGGTTGTTCTTGGATTAAAGGCAGTAAATTTGAATTGCTGTGGCAGGATTAGGTTTGGGATTGCTTATAGCACTATACAAACATTCACGCGTTCACCCGGCATCCTTGTGAGGCAGGCGTTCTTACCCTCCTTTCAGAGAGAGGGGAAACTGAGGCATACAGATGCTTTAGGGGGAGAGTCGAAGGGCCACGTGGTGTGTCGTGGGCAAGGCTGGGATCAGAGCTCCCCAGTTCCCAGCCAGCCCAGCTCTTTTCATCATTAAGTCTATTGTTTGCTTTATTTGTAGCTGATGCTGTTTACTGACCTAAATCTCTGCAGCATTTTCTGCAAGTTGCTCTGGCTTGCTGGCCTGTCTCAGGGGGTTCCTCTTAATGACAGGCACTGACTCAGCCAGGGAGTGCTGGGGACCTGGTCACGTGGACCTCAGGGGCTGCTGCTTTCTGCCAAACCCAGGGAAGGATTTCTCCCCCCATATGTTACATAAGTAGAGTTTTTTAGCATTTTCTTTCTTTTTCCCCCAGCAGAGCTATCAAGGTAAGGGCATCGTTTTCAAAGGCTTATTTGCCGGTCACTGGAAGAGTCTTAAAAAGCCTTTAACTTGGGCAATCGTCTGGTTGAGATCAGTGGAAATTTTCCCGTGGCAAAGCCCGAATGGAAGGATTGTACGTGCATTGCCAGCTCCACAGGCCCCCTCTGACTGCGGGCCCGGTTCTGCCTTGTGCCACAAGTAGTGTCATCATCTGCACCTGTGCGGAGCGAACGTAAAAACGCCCCTCCATCTGAACAGCACGTTGCATACAAGATGGTTTAAAGAGGGAGAACTGAACCCTTCTGATGACTCTGAGGCCTTGTCCATGCACACATTTGTGCTTGATTAATTAAAATAGTTGTGTTGGGCTGCCATGTGGACACTCTTCAGTTTAAAAACGCACATGCGTTTTCAGTGTAAACCTGCACGTGGGAAAGTTCGTGTGTGTGTGTGTGTGTCGGGGGGGAGGGTGCATATGCAGTGAACTGCCGACTCCTCTCTGTGTGGACACGCTTAGTTCTCAGTACATGCGAAGTAGCTTGCTCCACTTTGTATGAGACTTCAGCTTGGTGAAATATGTAGAAATAAGAGTGGCTGGTTTTAACCATAATAGTTAAACGTGCAATGCACGTGCAATCCTTCCATTCGGGCTTTGCCATGGGAAAATTTCCACTGATCTCAACCAGGCGATTGCCCAAGTTAAAGAAGACTCCTCCAGTGACCGGCAAATAACATGATGACAAGACTTAAACAAGAGAACTGGGCACTAGCGATTAGACCGGCATTCAGGACTTCGGGGATCTGCAAGCTATGTGCTTGGTATATGAGCCCTGGGCAAGCCACTTCTGTTTGGTCCTCAGTTTTCATACCTGCAAAATGGAGTTTGTGTTTCTGTACTGCAGGCACACTTGGACTAACTTGCACGTGGCTAAATTGCGCTGTTGTGTCTTCCTTGCTGTCATTATCCAGCCTTCAGGGTGTACAGCCACCACTGCTCCCTTGGGATGCCCACAGGTTGCTAGTGTACATTGAAGCCTGCTTTTTTAGTACTTATACCGGCTGGATTTAAAACTACCTTGGGTACAACCTCACTTCCCTGTGCAACACAGACCTACCCTTGCTCCATAACACGTGTATCCTCATGGGGAGCCTAGGTTATGTCAGTGCTGCATCTCTGCTGCAATCTAGGTAGTTTGGGAGCTGCTGGCAGTGCCGCTGCAGCAGCAAAGACCTGGGCACAAGCCAGCTACCTGGGTATTTACCCAAGTGGGTGGTTTCCAGCCCCTGCCTATGTCTGTGCCATGCCAACTGCATTGCTCACAGAAGGACTGCAGTATAAATATGCCCTTTGTGCAGAGCAGCTCTTGCGTTTTTAATTCACGCTACAGCCTATATTCCAAGGCTTTCTGCGCAGGCTCCCCTTTAATGCTGCTGACCTGCCCTGTGACAATGCTGTCAGATGACTGCGCTTGTGCACAACAGGTTTATTTGTGGTTAAACATGTTTCCTTGGACTGAAGGTTATGGGACCATCCTTAGCAACATGAAAGGCACTTCTTCTAAAACGAGGCTTCTGCTTTCGCTTCTCTTCCCCCTTCACATGAGATTTCCAAACTCTTTAGAGGGAGGTTTGAGTGTCATGGTTTTCCCCTTGCTCTTCCTCTGAAAAGTCGATGGCACCAGTGGAAAATGGCAACCTTGTCCCCAGCACTTTAGAAACGTAATTTCCCCTAGATCTTAATAATATCCCCCCCCTAAAAGCTTATCCACAATAGGGTTCACATGCACCTCTACCCTGTCTAGGGTCTCAGTTCAACACAGTAGGTGCCTAACTTTAAGCAGGTAAGTCATCCTATAGGCATACACTTAAATACCTTGCTGTATTAGTGCCTGTGTATAGTAATGTAGCAGCAGCACTGTGGTGCCTTTAATGACTTAGCTTTGCACCAATACTAAATGCATGGCCAGGAGCTGCCATAAGGTACCAGAAGCCGCCCCTCCCAGGGGGTGGGAGGGAGCTGTTGTCTTCTGGTATTGGGCTAGCGCTGGGAGCCATATGGCCAAAAGCTGCTCGTCTGAAGCCAGGATTACAACTGCAGGAGGTCACTGCTCCGAGGAGCCTTTTGATTTAGACAAAAGGTTTGCGGTTCACCTCGAGAGCTTTCCTTTTGGTTGAATAGCAGCCTATTTGGCTGTCAGTCGTTCCCCTTTCCGTTGGTATCAGGATTCCCTGGGGTTCAATCACCGGCGTCCATCTGACATAATTGCAGAAGATTGGGTTTTGTTCGTGTCCTCTGGGGAGCGGGAGAGCAACGGAGCTGAGAGATAAAATTGCGTTGATGCAAATCGGTCAGCACAGGTGGGTCTAGGTCAGGGCAACGTGTAGCGCTTTTTGGTTGCAGACAAAGTGCCCTTTCTTCCTCCGCTCGGCTTCAGAACTTGTGGGGTATTTGCATTGTTTGCAGGGAAAAGTTTCCTTGGGGGAAAAAGTGGACAAGAAAATTAGCACTGATGAGAAGCACTGGCCAGGCAGCCCTGGGGACTGCAGAGCCATAGAACGGGTCCAGCACAGGCAGCACCGATTAAAGCTTCCCCTACCTTGCTCCTTGATCGTTCGTGCATTGGACTGGGTGACCCTTGAGGTCCCCTCCAACCATGATTCAGTGCATCTGTGCCTCCCCATGGAGCTGAGAATATCCTTATGTGGGCAAGAGGATAGTTACTTATGGATCAGGGCTACTGTGAGCTGGGGTAAGAGCAGTAAAATCAGTGGGACAGGTGAGAAGCAGGCCTGTGCCTTGTGGCCTCTGCTTAGAGTGGACCGCTTCCTAAGGAAGTCTTCAGTGATGTGGCCCACAGGGAACAGGCTGGGTACCCTTTGCAGTGGCACCCAAGTAGCTATCCAGCTGCTACCACCCCAGGCCGCAAGTCACTGAAATGCAGCAAGCGACCTGGAGAACAAGAGCAACATCTGACCGCCAGCCCCTCCAGTTCTCTTCTGAGAGCAAAGCTTCCAGACCCCACATGTCTCTGTGCCCTTCTCTTCGTTTTTGGTTTCGTTATGGGAAATAAATTGGTGCCTGTGACCGTTTTCCTCCACCCTTCTGCGTCGATAGGGAAGAGAGAAATAAAATGACACTAAATGGGCGCTGCCCATCTGCTTCTGAGCGCGCTGCTCTGGTTCCCTGCTTTACATGCGTTTTCTGTGCATTGCAGGTTAACCTGAATGATTCTCACAATCAGATGGTCGTGCACTGGGCAGGAGAAAAGAGCAACGTGATCGTGGCCTTGGCTAGAGACAGCCTGGCGATACCAAGTCTCCAGAACAGCGATGTAAGTATGCAGCTTCCCGTTGTTACAGAGACAGCCTTGGAAATGGCGTTGTGTGCAGTGATACGTTTGTAGTTGTTCTCCCGAAAGGTGACAGTCTGCCTTTGTGTTATATATTTGAGAGCCTGGCCTCTTGGTCTGAACTTCAGATAGAAACCACTTAGACTTCCTTCCCCATGGGCTCCAATCCAGTTAGGGCTGCCTAGGGCCATTATCTTGCTGAAACAGATAAATTGAATCCTAGTTATCTCTGCACAGTGTTGCTTATAAATCTCTTTTATGAGGGGTCATTATCTTCTGCAGGATGAGCTGCTTCCATGTATGTAACAGGAAGCTTTATTTGGAGAGTGTCTTTGCTGCCTCCGTCTTGCGGGAGGATGATCTGTCTCCCATTGACATACCGCAGTTCTGCTTCAAAAATCAGTGGATCTTTTCCAGCTCTGCAAAGAGCTCGTGTCTCCGCGCTGGCTTCTGTTTGCAGATCCCTCTGTCTATGTGTGAGACCTGTTGTCTCGTCCCACTTATGGAATACCCTTCAGGGGAGTCCTGGTGGTCACGCCACACAGAAGAAAAGCTGGCAAGTTAGTGCAGAAACATGTGGCTCAATATGAGCCAACTATGGTTTAAAGGATACTCATTCCTCCTATCCCCGTTCTGAAGGATGCAGATTGTGGCCTTCTTGTCCACTGAGCGACAGTGTGACTGGTAGCACATGCTTCCCCACCTGACTGGCCTATACCAGTGTGTCTCCACATAAGGTGTTCATTCTTCCTGCCCCATTAGATATGGGGTATTTCATGCTGAGCCTGCTCGCCAAAGGGAAGATAGCTATGGCTGTTATCAGAAGGTGGAGGCTTGCCCAAAGGGAACTGTAGCGAGACACTTCCCAGCGTGCACTTCACATCCATCCAACAGGAAGTTCAAGGAGATCGCTCTAGGTTGGGACCAGGTCAGACTTCATTCACACCGGGCAGCGGGTAACTTTACACATAAAAATCACCATTTACCCACTGCGGGGTTGGGGCCAGGCTGCTCAATGCCCTGCCCAGGCTTCTGTGCAGAGGTGCTGGACACCACTGCCAGCAGAAGAGTAGCTTGCACGCTCAGTTTGACATAGCACATCCAGCTGCAAAGTGCCAGGCAAAGGTGAGGTATAACTCCGTTAGCCTGAAGGACAAATACCACATTTACTGTGATACATTCAACTAAATGATGAGTCCCCTGTCTAGAGGAAAAAGGTCTTTATCCTATTCCCAGTCTCCCAAATTAGCTATTCCTCATACCAGGACAAGCATAAGGACATACTTTTAAGCATTCTGGGAGCAGGATTGCTTTTTTTGTTGTTGTTTTGTCCTACAATGCCTAGCACAGTGAGAGCCTGATCCAGTGCTAGGGTTCCTAGGCACTAGGAATAATAATAATTATAATAATAATACATGCCTTGGTTTTAACTGGAGAAAGGAAGAGAAGAGCTGCTTGCCTTTTCTTTTCCAGCTGGCTGCAAGCTGTAGCAGTAGCTTGCTTAGAAGGAGACTTAGCTTTGCTTTTCTAGCATTTTGTCTGAGGCTTTATAGACTTGTCATTTCGTTCTCTGCCTCCGTTTAAAGCATCTCTCAGTCTTTCCCTTAGCATGGTGTCACCCTGTCTTCTGCCTCTGCTTTTCAACGTCGTTACGGCCTGTGTAAGGAAGTGTGGCCTCAGCTCCTCCTGCGTCCTGTGTTTTATAGCCTCTTCTGTGTGCATTTTTTTCCAGGGTTGTATAAAATGTTATGAAACCAATAAACAAGAGAGAGAGGCCGGGAGACTGCCAGGTTGGAAACAAAAGCCTTTGTGCTCATAATCTCGGGATTCTTTCCTTTGCAGGTTTATGTGTCTTACGACTATGGGAAGACATTTAAAAAAATATCAGAGAAATTCAGCTTTGGTGCAGGGAATACCAGCAAGGTGGCGATTGCTCAGTTCTACCACAGCCCCGCTGACAACAAAAGGGTAAGGAGTGAACACGTTTACGTCTATATACCTGGCTTATTCTACATGCAAAAAAATATATGGCTTTCATTATCATGGTTCAGTTGAAGTGGTACAACCCTTCGCAGCCTGTATGCAATTCGACTGGGATAGCAGTGTGTGTACCAGGATAGTTATTCTTGTCCTTATGGGGATTGGTGTGTAAAGACCCCATGATAGCAGCTTAACTATGTCCATGCTAGGTTGCACTGATAAAACTGTGTGTAAAAACATCTCCCCACCATCCAACGTAGTTCACAGGCGCAGAATTTGGGTGTAAACCAGACATAAATAAAACCTATCTCGGCTCCTGTTAAGCCCCTTAACCACTCCCCCGCCAGCCCTGCTGCCCGTAGTCAATCTTGTCAGTTTGTGTAAAATATTCCTCTCATTTTATCTCTTTCCTGGCCTCTGTCCATCCTGTCTGTGAGCTGAAAAAGGGGAACCTTCCCTATGTGTCTGGAAAGCACTCTATGGATAATAAATAAGAGTAAATGAGTGTCTGTCTTATCATAATGCTCTTTATTGTCTAAAAAAAAAAAAGGTTTGCTCAGTGTTGCAAAAAACTTCTTGAAGCTTTACAGCAAAAGACATTTATCTCTTGGGGGTTATAAATTACTTTTGATCAAGAAAATTGTCGAAAAAGGTTTCCAGGAGAAATGCACAGGCAATTATTTTTTGTTTCTCCTGCAGGAGAACCTACAATGCCTAGATGTCTTGGATATTGTTATGTGCCTTTGGCATGGGTTTTAAGTGCAAGTAAAGGGGCAAGTATGAGAAGAGCCAAGGCAGACAGGTAACAGGTACCTCTGTCAGGTTTAGATTCTCCGACTAGTAGAGCATCCAAGACCATGGAGCTTAAATGCATCCATGGGAGGGAAGGGAGCCATCCTGGTTTTTCCTAATATCAATGTGAACCCATTTATATTCAAACTCCTCTTTGTGGCTCCCAGCATTGAAATGGGTTCCTAGTTAGTTGTCAGCAGCAAAGCTTTGGATGGGGGAAGCCGTACTGACTGTCTCATCCTTGCCGTTACGTGAACTTCCCCGTGAAGTAAACCTGTATTAAGGTGGGAAATTGCCCTGTTAGGTTAGTGCGTGCTCTGTGGGTCCCAGCAACTCCAAACCGAGTTTGCACGTCGGAAAATGTGCCATTTTCTAATTCCAACCTTGGAAACGTACCTTGAGATCAGTAAGGCAGGTTGGACTCTTTTCAGCTCATGCAGTGTCACGTTAACACTTCTTTAACACAGCTGGACCCAAACACGGGAGCGGGGTGCCAGAGAATCACGACGAGAATCCTTAAGTGCTGCCTTCTGTTGCATCTGCCTTCAGATGCGTCCATCTGACATTAACTGAGGGTAGAAGATGGCCTTGCATTTGAAACCTAATTAAGAAACCTGCTGGGAGACAGGACAGACTCCAGCTCTCTCCTAAAGTTTCAGCTTCGCCATGGTTATAGGTTTAAATGGTTCTGTCTTTCTGTCCCTCTCACAAAACGGGGCTGCCAGTAGCATATTACATGCTTGTCCTCTGGTTAGATCCTGCGATATTGCTTCTTTGTTTTACTCTGGGAGTGCCTTTAGGGCAAGTTATTCATTTTGCAAATCACAGACGGCATAGCTCCCTTGCAAGTGAGGGAGAAGGCTGGTTTTCCACATGTGCTGATTTTGTCTTCCAGTCTCCATTGCCAGCGTCTTTCTCCTTCCAGCCCAGTACATCAGGTTCTGCTCGTCATTATGATTGTCTGACCATGGTTTTGTGTCTTACTCCCTTTTCCCCTTCCCTTCTCCAGTACATCTTTGTGGATGTCTTCATCCAGTACCTCTGGATCACGACTGATTTCTGCAACAGTACTCAGGGCTTCTCCATTCCCTTCAGAGCAGCAGATCTTCTCTTGCACAGCAGGAACCCCAACCTGGTTTTGGGCTTTGATAGCTCTCATCCTAACAAACAGGTGAGAAGCTGTTGCCAGACAGGTGTGCCAAGCCATACCGCTTCTGCTGTCTGACTGAGTGCCTCAAATGTTACATACTTGTTGACTGCTTGCTGTGAGATGTGCTCAGTACCCATTGCACTGTATCTACTTCCTTCGTCTACAGCTATCAAGATGTGCGCCACCTGCACCATCCTTCCCTGCAGGCAGGCACGCATCCATCATTTTTCTAATAATTTTTGTGGCATCGAAGGTCTATGGTTACTCTGGTATTGATTAAACAATAAGATCTCCCCTTTCCCTAGCCAGGAGAGGTAGGTGCAGTTCTCTGGAACCCATCCCTTACTGTCTTGCAAACATTCATGACCTGAGTCTGGGAGATTGGTAAATACGAATATCCCCATTTCGCGGAGGGAGAAAGACAGAGGCCCATAAAGAGGTTAATAGTTTCACTCAAGAAGACACAGCAGTTCAGGGACAGAGCCAGGGCATGAGCCCAGGCGTGCTCATTGTCTGGCCTTTTCTATAGCTACTGGACAGCATTCCTTCTCCGGTCCTGCCTATCCGGTTTCACGTAAGAAAGACCGAGGGCAGAGGGGGATTGGCTACAACTCACCTGAAGGACGGCTTGTGCGTGTCCCATTTCCTTCAGGCACCAGAATGATCTGTAATCTATGTGCTGAGACTTAGCAGGGAGGGTTGGCACTCAGAAACACCAGTCTGTCCCATGCTCTGTAGGCCTTACCCTTAGCAGTGGCCGTGAGGTTTATCTTGGAAGGTCACGTACCAGTATCAAATAGCTTTGTGTTTTGCTGTCTCCCTGGCCATAACTGTGCAATGGTTTCTGCACCCTGGACGAGAGCGTGCATGTGCATGATTCACCGTTACGCAGCCCCAATTAGCCAGAACATCCCCCTTTTAAATATTTAAATCTGTTTGCTCTCTCAGGCAGCCAGGAGGGAAGATGTTTTATTTTTACAGATGGTTCCCCCCTGTCCTCCCCTCCCTTTGCGTCCTATAATCCTCTGAGACTGCATCAATAGTAACTCACAGCAGAAGGCTGCCAGCAAAGGCAGGAATGACCTTTGGATCATTTAACATGGGTTTGTGGCTTTGCATTTGGCCTTGCTGTGCAGATTGCTTTTGGCTGCAGGTAGAGGAGAATGCTTTTATACAACTCTGCAGCTGCAGCATTTAACGTTTGACATGTATTTTTAAGCTAGAGCCCCACCCCAAATGCATAAATTACAAGTAAGTAAAGACATGCATCTGCAAAGTACATAAATAACCAGTGCTGTTTTACAGTCTAATCAGTGAGCTACCACAGGCTGGAGTATTTGCTATACTCTCTGAGAGACGCAGTGTGAAGGGCATAGACCAGGCATGGCATTAAGAGGAAAGAACTGAATTTTATATCACTTTTGTGCTGTCCTGAGCACCTTTGCTCCTGCTGCTTTGGGGCAAAGTGACTCCTGGCTTAATTCAGAGCTGCCCCAAAGGCTGCTTTGGTTTAGGGGCACTTTCTCAGGTCTATCTCAGGGCTGCATTGCAGATCACAGCCATATACTGCTGAATCGTATGACTTTTGCTGCTTCTGTGCTTGACATGTCTCCTTCTTCCCCTGACATTCAGCACCTACCGGGTTTTGCATATGTCAGCCTTACGCTGCTTCTGCGCTGGTTGGTTCTCCCCTGTCCTTTGCCATTCACTTGCATCCCTTACATCTCATTGGAGAGACCTATGTGGTTTCGAATTAGCTCCTGTGTTTCTCCTGCTTTTGCTTGCTTTTGGTGCCAGGCTAGGTGATAATGCAGACAGAGCTGATTGAGGGGCTAGATCAGTCGGCTGGGAGTCAGAACCTCTGGGGTCCTCTTCCTTGTTTTGCAGCTGACTCGCTGCTTGACTTTGGGAGCTCAGACAGGGATAATACTTCCCTTCTCTGCAAGGCCTTAAATTAAGCTTTGCTGAAGTGTTGCGATACCTGCAGTAGACAGGAGCCAGGGAAGAAAAGGTGAGCCTGACCATGATTATTGAAGGATTAAACACTTCTATTTCTGAAATGGAAAAAAACCCAAGGCTACGGCCCAGGTATCTTTCCTTGCAAGAACAATCAGACATACCCGGTAAGCTTGGGCTGAGAGCGGGCAGTAGCCAGTCCATAATCACCGAACAGTGCACTGTTATAGCCATGTACCACTCATTCAGAGCCAAAGAGCTTAATTCTCCGCTCTCTGTGCACCTAACGATGTTGCTAATGGGCACCAGTGATGCATTTATAAACTGTGCTTGATCTTATGATCACTAAACTTTTTCAAGCCAGCTGAATCTTGGAGCTGAAATGTCGCCAGCCTCTTGTACATCCTAGGCGAAGGCATGCAATTATGAAAATGTAAGTGCCAATGTGATTCTGGGATTTGTAACAGAAATAGAGAGCAGCGCTTCCTCCTAGCCCAGATGCTTTACTCATAGTATTACCCTTCCATGTATCAGGAGAGATTATTCCTAATTCTGGCTCAGTGCCCACAACGGCAGGGATGCAGGCAGGAACACACGATCGTTTTAGGGTGGGACTAAGAGACAGCGTAGCCATTTGATTTGGCAGGTGACTCTTGTACATACCCTGCACCACCAAGCCAGTGGAGGATTTCTGCTTATGGCAGCAAGTGGATGCTGGGAAGATGGGTTTGTGGCACCTGGGGTTTGCCTACACAGCTTGTGCACCACACCTGGGACTGTCCCAGGAAGCGTGCACATGCTTCGCCCTGCACCCTGTTTACCTGAGCCCCAAAATTAGGCTTAGCATGGTCTTGAATGGCTCTTTGGCTCTGCATTGGGCATGCTTCTTGCCATGGTCTCAGGGGGCCACTCGCAGCCAGCTGCACTACCTAATTTCCTGGCTGCGGTGTGCAGTCAGCTTGGCCAGTGGGAGGGGCGTGCTCTTGGCAGCAGATCCAGGTGCAGCAGGGAGGCAGGGCAGACACGTCCTTCAAGCCCGATTACAGGCCCACGCCTCAACCATGTTCATAGCTTGCAGTTTGACCACGGGGCTGGTGGATTTCCAGCATTTAACCCTTCAGTTTGACACGTTTTGGAAATGAGAGCTGCAATGTGTGAGACTCACTTGTATCTCTGACATTTTGTATTGCAGCTTTGGAAATCAGATGATTTTGGTCAGACCTGGATAATGATTCAGGAGCATGTGAAATCTTTCTCTTGGTATGTACTGCACCTCTGTCATGCCGGCACATTTTGTTCTTCCTCTCTCTTCTCACTTCTCTTCCATCCTTTGCCAAGGACTTGAGCACAGATGTGGGCAAATATCAAGGTATAAAAGCTGTGCTGTAACATTCCCTCCTAAAGTTAGGTCTGTAGCAAATGGATCTCACAGACCATAGCTGTTAAATAGGAACAGCTGATCACAGGGGCTTGGTGCAGAAGTGTGTCGGCAGAAAGCTACCCGTACTTTGAGCTTCTTTACCTCGATGCATACAGTGCTGGGGTCCTGACAGCTGTCACCAGCCTAAACAGTGTGAAGCTGAATCAGTGTTAGCAGATCAGCTAAGGCAAAATATGAGAGTGGCAAATACTTTTAATTGGTATGTGTGTTGTTTGCGCCCTCTGTGATTGTTTTGTACTCTGGAGTTGGGGGGCACTGCACCACTTCTCAAACTTACTGTTCAGTAAGATTTCATAGTGATTTTATACACAGATAAGGTGTATTGGCCAAAACAGAACATTTTTGGGAGGTCTCTAAACTTGCTGTCTGATTTCTGCTTTTTTTCACTTTCTGTCTTAAGTGATCATTTAGTCTTGATGTGCAATATTAAACAGCTTCTGCAGAACATCGGTATCAGGATTTTCTGTGGGGATCTCAGGGTGGAGTTACTTTAAATTTTAAAAGGTCTTTCATTCAAAGACCCCGATTTTGCCTCTATTGAAGTTGGTGCTCAAACTCCCGTTGACATCAGTGGTACCGAATTATGCTGCATTGAACAGAAAAAAGGCCCTTGAGGTCCAATGTGCATCCATGTCATGATCTCAGTTGGGAGTGAACTCTGCACCAGACCCAGGCCTTTCTTCTTCTCACCGTGAGATAGGCCAAAGCCCCCGGGTTCATCGTGTACCATCATGATGTTCAAAACTCCAGTCCAGATTGTGGAGTTTGAGCCCATCTCTTGTTAAATGACTTTGTTTGAAATGACTGGTGCAATCTGAATAGCTAAGTGAGCTGAAACACTGACATACTTTTTTTCCTCCCCACCCCAAGGGGCGTTGAGCCATATGATAAGCCAAATACAGTTTACATAGAACGGCACGAACCTTCGGGGTCTTCAACTATCATTCGCAGCACAGATTTCTTTCAAACCAGGGAAAATAAAGAAATCATTCTGGAAGAAGTGGATGACTTCCAGTTCAGGGACAAGTATCTCTTTGCCACAAAGACAGTGGTAAGTAACATGTGAGAAAGTCACCATATGGGTCAAAAGCTTATACTTCAAGTGCTTGCTCTAGAAGTCTTTAAAGTCAATGGAAAAGACTTCAGGTGACTTCAGCAGTACAACAATGGACAATACTTAGTCAAGCTTCATCAGTGATGTAACGACGACAAGGGAATGTTCTTGGACCCGAAGGCAAAACATTTAATGTTTCATCAGCCTATTGACAGACTCAGAAAGAAGAGTGAGCTGGAGTTAGTGGTCTTGGCTTAATGCCGTTTAGGGCCTGACCATATCAATGCTAACAAGAGGGTTTTAAATACAACCCCCCGCAAAAAACAGTAGGTTAATACATGAGTACTATGGACATGCCAGCCGGGACCTTTGCTCAGTGCTGGGACTTGGAGTGAGAAGTCTGCAAAGTTGAAATGGTGTGTCAGCTAAATCCAGATATTTGCAGACTTGACATTTACTTGGTCACAAAAGCATCACCGTGATTTGTGGACAAACAAACTGTTTTGATAGACCATTCTCTATTTGGTGCAGTTGGCTTGACACCTTAGCTTAGCACAGGTGAGCTAGAGGGGCTGGATGGCTCCTGCGGTGGGATGCTACCACGTCTGCTGCACAAGCCAACAGTAACCCTCCTCCTTACCTCCTTTTGGAGGTGTGGTGTCTCGCTACCGCTCCTAAGGTGTAAGTTTGAGCCTTCTTTGGATTCATGCTGATGCCTGCTCCTAGCTGACATAGCTGTAAATGGGAGCCTGGGCTTTTGGGCTGGGAGGTCAGCTAGAAGTGAGTGCAGCTCCATCTCTCCCCTGTGTGTTGCCAGGTGTGCTAGTCTGACAGGCCTTCCAGGCTCAGGAGAACCATAATTAACTTAACTGACCTCTTCACAGTGCAGGGCTGAAATGAGATCGGATGGGAACAGTGGGATTTTCCTACACTGATTTGATTTAAGCAAGCCAGGCAGAAACGGGTCAGTCTCTGAAGTCCCAGAGCTCTGGGAGAAGAGCCCAGCTGCCAGCCAGCCAGCCAAAGGACAGAAGTTAACTTCAGTTGGCCTGGTGCTGAGGGAAGATGATGCCTATTTGCAATAGTTCAGTTCATAAATCATAAAAATGAAGGTTGGAAGGGACTTCAGGAGGTCACACCTAGTCCAACCCCTTGCTCGAAGCAGGACCAGCCCCAAATAGATCATTAGGAGGATACTTGTCAACTTGAACTTTTCTTTCCTTTAAAGAGGACAAACCTGCAATTTTTGTAGCATCCCCCCTCTCACCAAGGCACTTTTAACAAGCAAAGCAGCTCACAGTCACATTGTAGTGGTTCCTTCCCCAAAACTGCTTCCTGTGTGAATGCCACAGCGGTGAGTACTAGGCATCTTTACTGCTGACACCCTCACAATGCCGTTAACAGGTGCAGTCATGTCTAAAGCAAACAGGAAAATTGTTTGAAGGACTGTTTTGATTGCTAAAAAATACCTTGTGCAAGAATGGAAATCCACAGCATTTTTGGGTATGTAGGCCTGGCATTTGGACTTGATATGAAGCCCATATTGGGATCAAGCCCACAATGAGTTGAGAGAATCAGAATACTCTGTCTGGTTTTTTTATTGGCATAATGAAAAGCATAGTGACTGCATACTGCGTTATGGAGAAATAATCCAACAGGAGGACTCCAATTTGCTTTCCAGTTCTCCTGTGAGATCCAGTATTTGTCCAGTACATTCTCTAGCGGTGATTCTTGTACATCATCTCTGAATCTGTAGTGTCTGAGCACCTTGTCATCTTCAAGCCGTTTGCTCTCATAACACTGGTGCATGGGAAGGCGATGGTTTCTAGCCCTCTTGGCCACACAGTTATAACAGTCTTTAGACTCATGAGCAAATAGGAAAATGTGTTTCTTTTTTTAACGTGAGCCAAAATATTGAAATTGGAACCGTGAAGGTTGCAGTTTTGCTGGTCTGATGCATCCAAAATTCACGAGGCAGGTTCCAAAAGTTTTGAGATTTTAAAAAATGCAGTAGGACTTGGGATTCGTTCGATTTATTTTTTGATTTTTGAGGGGAGTTGGTGACACTGAGCTAAGCATGTAAATCCATGCTTATGTGCTTCTCTTACGGAGGTACAAAGCACCCTTGACTACTGTTAAATCCAGTGGCCACCTGTTTTGAAGCCTAAATATAGACGGAGGTGTCTGACATCGGTGTGCTGTATTCCGACATCCTGACTGTGATTTTTCTTAACTAGATGCCTGTCTCTGTTAAACTTATCCCAAAAAGGCAAATATCTAAATTAAAGCATAGCTAATGTGCAAAAGGAGAAGTATGGAAAAAGAATCACATTAATGTCTGCCTGTATGGGGGGTGATGAGAGGTGAACATTAGTATGTTGGCCAACACAGTTGATCAGCGGAGAGTTGGGAGATCTCCAGATTGCAAAATAGCGATAAGGACAGTGACATGTTGACTCCAGACTTGACATTAAATATTTAAAGGGACCACAGCTTTCATTCCCTTAAAGGACAGGGAAATTCAAAACAGGTTTTGAGTTAGATCTACCTGGTGTATGCATCTAAGGCCCCCCCATCTTCTTGGTAAATCCTGACTTTTTGTGGGGCAAGCAGAGAAGTATATTGTTGCCAGTTTTCTATGTTAGCAATAAAGACTCCCACATATGCTAGGGTGAGGGCATAGGGGTTTCACGTTTCACATTCGCAGAGAACGGTGTTAAGCCATAACTGTGTTTTTTTAGAGTCCATTTTGTTGGAAGTCCCGTCAACTTATTACATTGAGCAGGTGTTTGCCTACTTTACTACCATGCTTTTTGTTAAGTTTCATCTGTTCAGTTTTTAATCTGTATTACAGACAATTATGAATTTAGACATAAAAGAGAGTCCTGACATGTTCCTCCCTGCCCTTCCTCCCAGCATTTATTGGGTGGCCAGCAGCAGCCTTCAGTTCAGCTCTGGGTTTCCTTCAACCGCAAGCCAATGCAAGCTGCACAGTTTGTAACCAGGCATCCGATTAAGGTAAATGGGAACTCTTTATTCATCCTTCCCCCTTAGATATCTAAGGGATTGCAACAGCATTTCTGCTTCGACCTAAACACTGCAGTAGTTAGACTGGTAGTAAAATCTGTTCTGAACAGTTTGCCCCTTTCTCATGTTTGGAACGAAGACAAGCTGATAGCAATGATGTCCATTGAGAAAAACAGGATTGCAGACCAGAATCAAATCACTTGTGCCCATGAGTCCTTGCAAAATCAGGCCCTTTTTTAGTTCTAAGTAGCAACGTTTTGATGGGATTTTTATTAGGCACAATTTTTACCTGGTTTTAAATTAGCGTGAACCTGCAAGGCTCTGTCTCTTGGATTCAGGATTGTGAGAGCATTGCTGCGCATCCCAAGAAATTGGTTTCCACATGCGGGGAACACAAGATTATTTGCATTGCACTTAAAAGCCTCGATTGCAGCTAGCCAAGTGTGGATGTAAGAGTCTTCTCTTCCCAGATGCAAGCACTTAGCATAATAGTCCTTGCAATTGCAGGAACAGGAAAAGTGTCCTCTGCCAGTACCAGCCTGGATTCCAGCCTCCCCGCAGGAGATGGTGGTCGGTTAGGACTGTGCTGCATCCACCTTGTTTGCTAGCTTATGGCAGGGGGTGGCAGCATAGTGGGAGAGCTGACATGCTGCTGGCTGTGGCAGTGTGCATGGTCTCCCCTCCTGCTGGGGAGCGATTGGGCCCGCTGTGGCATCCTGCTTCCAAGATCTTCCCTTTGGGTAGAGCAGAGCTGTGCCACACTGAAACTTCAGTCACTCCCTAGAGCTCACTGCTGCAGCAGCAAAAGGAAAAGCACAAGCTAGACTGTGCTGTTAAAGAACTAGCCCTGTCTTCAGAGAGCTTGGGGATATTATCCTACTAAATCCAGCCTCCAGCCATACCACTGCTTCCCAAAGCTGGAGCGAGTACAAGAGAGCTGGGGTGCCTTCGTATTTTGGTGAGAACTAGGTATACACTCAACACTTGGCAAACATGTTTACTGCCTTTAGGAGGTCACAGTCTCACACCGATCCAGGCAGAGGCAGGGCTCGGTGGGTTGGAGAGAGCTGGATGAGTTCTCCCATTGTTGCAGCGCTAATCTTTTTTTGGCCTGCTCCGCTGAGGAGCAGCTCTTTGAGGGCGGATTTGGAGGCAAAACTCACTTGCGCAAAAAGCAGAGGTTCGGCATTCATCTGCCAAGTGGAGAAGCTGAACATGGGCGGAGGGAGGATTGGCTTCCAGGCGTCTGAGAGGAAATGACAAATGCTTGAGACGTGGGGTAAAAACACAGAGATTTAAAAAGAAAAAAAGGTGGCGGGGGGGGGGGGATGAGAACGGTGCCATCAGCTAAACGCATGTCATTTGTGTTGTTGGCGTCCCTAAGGAGTACTACATTGCCGACGCATCCGAGGACCAGGTGTTTGTGTGCGTCAGCCACAGTAACAACCGCACCAACCTGTACATCTCAGAAGCAGAAGGACTGAGGTTTTCACTGTCTTTAGAGAACGTGCTGTACTATAGCCCCGGAGGAGCAGGCAGCGATACCCTGGTCAGGTAAGGACAGGCTGGCTAATGACAGCAGGCTCAGCGGCTTGGAGCATCTCCTGTGGGTTACTCTGGGCATTTCATGGCAAGGTGGCTGTACAGAGGGGAAACCCAATGATACCAACTCATAGACATTTATACAAAGCTTCAGCTCATGTTGCAAACGTATTAAACTCCACAGTGCCCTGGAGTAGGTGAGCATTAACCCCATTTTGCAGGTGAGGGAGAGTTGTTTAGTGATTCATTTTAGCTCGCAGAGCCAGTCAGTAGAGGAGCTGGGGTTAGGATTCAGGAGTTCCTGGCTCGCAAGCCGAAACCGTGCCCCTGCATGCATCTCTGTTGATATCAAAGGGGGAAAGCAAAATGTGCGAGCGGAGGATTAGTACGACTGCCTCTGAGGAGTCGACACAATGAAGAACATGATGGAGCTGGGTGCTCGATTGTCAAACATAGCTATCCCCTCTCATCAGATGCTTCAAAGGTACATGACCACATTGGCAGCCATCTCTCCAGTGTGTTGTCTTCCATGCTGCATTTGATTGGGGCGTTTTCGTGGGCAGACAGTGATCCTGGATTTTAAAAGTACCTCCCTGGTGCTCTACGGCAGTTAAAAGCAGATGTCACACGCTTGCATTTCTTGGCAGGTATTTTGCCAACGAGCCTTTTGCAGACTTCCACCGAGTTGAGGGTGTGAGGGGCGTGTACATCACCACGCTGATAAACGGCTCCTTCAGCGAAGAGAACATGCGGTCCGTCATCACCTTTGACAAAGGGGGGACCTGGGAGTTCCTGCAGGCTCCAGCATACACGCGCTATGGAGAAAAGATAAACTGCGAGGTAACCAGCAAGCAGAACTGGGTCATTCGACCCCAGCTGTCTTTCCTGCCCAAGTGCAGCGGGGTTGGACCTGATGATCTTATGAGGGCCCTTTCGGCCCCTGACATCTATGAGTCTGGGAGCGGCATAACCTCTTGTTCCCTGCCTCGGGAATTTCTAGGGTCAGGCAGGATCACCATGAAACCCTGACCAGTTTTATTACAGAGACTGAACCGTTGTCAGTCCCTACAGGGCTGTCCGCGGCTGAGCTCTGATTGTAAAATGGAGCTTTTAAGCAGAGAGGGTGGAGACCAGGGTGGAGCAGCCTACAATAGCAAAAGTCACGTGGGAGTTTGGGAGCTGAGACCTCAGTTCGATGTATTTGCAGGAAAGCATCAGTTCGGTGTCCTTTAGGACCCTACTGAAAGGTTGGGTAAGTGCTGAGATGAAAGCTCATCCATTACTTCCCTAGCCAGCATGTTTCAGTACATTGTTGGCCAAGCTCTTCTCTTTCCACTGTAAAGAGCATGAGTGCCAGCTGCAGAAAAGGCCATGAAAGGAGTGTGAGGATGGACCGGTTTAAAGACATTTCAGGTGAACTCCTGGCCCCACTGAAATCAGTGACCAAACTCCTCCTGACTTCAGTAGGGAACCTGAATGCAGGGCTGCCTTCCGCAGGGATATGTCGAATGGAGGAAGAGCATGTGAAGAGCATCCTGTCCCTATCTCTGTGCTATCTTGGTCCCCTACTGATGTCACTGTCAGTTTTAGCCACCCAAATGAGGATGAGGTATTCACCTGCACCAGCAGCACACAGCAGAGAGGAGTGGGTGCTGAAGCATAGCAGACCAGACATGGTACTTGGATCTCTTGTGTCCTAGTCCACCGCAAAGCCCCAGAGTCTCTTGCTGCAGGGACCCACGCGTCCCAGTTCTCCCAGTGGAGAGGAAGCACAGTCCAGTAACGAAAGTCAGAGTCTTGCTGGGTGCTCTTGGGCAAGTCACTTCCTCTCTCCAGGCTTCAGGTTCTTCCTCTTTGTAAAAAGAGGATAATTCATCCCAGCATGGGTTTTTACACATGCTCATGCTCATATTTTCGGAGCGTCTCGCAGCAGCCCATTAAGCAGTGTAACCAACATCTGCCATATGTTTATTCTCTCATCCTCCTCAGAGAAGGAGAAATGTGTTCAGTGGAGGGCTTTTATGGAGTTTCTTGTTGAAATAATACTTGCATGCACACATTTGAGCTGTGATAAGGTTAAAAGAAATGTGACTTGCACTTGCAAAGCAAGGTGATACGGTGTATTATGGCCCTTAGTTCTGGAGAGGGGTGGTTCCAGGGTCTCAGGACAGCCCTTGAGGACGCTGTCTTCTGCCTGAACAAGCATTGTCTGTATTGCAGGGAGTTGCACTGGGTTAGAGGAGTGGAGCTGTCTGCCAGTGCCTTCACCTTAGGGTTGTAGGTGGTCATTGAGACCCCCTGCGTCCAGTCCATTGAGAGGCGTGGAGATAAAGCTTGCAGCCTTAAATTTGACTAGATATTGTCTGGAAAGCCAGGGCAGGGCATAGAGCACAGGTTTGCATGTATGGGGAGCCAGTTTTGCTGAGGCAGCGTGCGATAGTGTTGGGTACCAGCTGGAATTGTAAGTTTTGCTGGTGTACGTTGCCTGAAGTGCTAGCCAAGAAGTGACAAAGGCATGAATGTTTTCTTCCCTCCTGGGGTCGTAGGCACCGTGGATTCACTAATGTTTTGTGGCATGTCAAAAGCCTTTCATAATCGCAACTGTGTTTTGCTCTTCCAGTTTTCCCAGGGCTGCTCTCTTCACCTGGCCCAGAGACTGAGCCAGCTGCTTAACTTCCAGCTACGCAGAATGCCCATTCTCTCCAAAGAGTCTGCTCCAGGACTGATCATTGCTACAGGTATAGTCTTTTTAAGGGCCTGATCCAGTGAGGAGCTTTGTCTACTGACTAGAGGGTGCAAAGTATTTTTAAGAGGTGTTCAGCCCATACCTGTATTGAACATATTGGGTATATTAAAAATGCAATTAAAATGTGTGTTTTGCAGTCCCCTTTGCTCCGCTCACCTGATACTGTTATTACTGCGTATAAATTTGAGTGTATTAATGTTCAAAGTAGAAATACTTCACACTTTATTCTCGTCCTCCCTCCCTCTCGCAATCAACCCAAAGGTTTTTTAAAAGCTTATAGACACTAAGACTTGACTCGCGTATCACTTTATTATAGAAACCTCATTCTGTAGGATATTGGGAATGCAAAGAGTAGGTTTCATCTGATCATACTTCTTTTATACTTTTGTGTTTTTCCTGATTCTTTTTCAAACTTGCAATAATCCTATTCATTTTTTACTTAAAAGCACCTGATTAACAGTATGGAAACATAACTCTCCAACACTGGCAAATAAAAATAGTTTAATGGTGGTGGTTTCATTTCAAGTAACCCAGTTGGATATGTCAAGAAGAATTACGTTCCCATTCTCTTAGGCTCGGTTGGCAGGAACATGGCAAGCAAGACAAACGTCTATGTTTCAAGCAGTGCCGGAGCAAGATGGAGAGAGGTAGGGATGCTATTTTCATTAAACCAGCATGACAGCATAGCCAGAAAGGTATATCTTTGGGGTGAGGGGAAGCATAGCACTGGTATATAACTATTATACACGCTGTATTAAGTTTTAAAGGTGACCTGTACACACTGAATATGCTCACACACGTGCAGATTAGGGAGTTTAAGTTAAATACACCAAATACCCCAGAAACAAAGTTTAAAAGAGCTTTTAGCATATGACAAATGTTTCCAGGTTCCACTCCCTTACTCAGAAATCAATACCCATTCTGACAAACGCTGCTGTGTGAGCTAGTGTGGTCATCTCATTTCCACTGTAAAAGGGCTTGGAACAGTAAAAGCAAGAAAAGGGCCAGTTTTAAGTTCTTTACTGCAGAGTTCTCCAAAATGTTTGTCAAGTCTGCTCAACACGTGGGCGTAGCGTTGATATGCAGCGCCTTCATGTTTATTAAAGCAAAATACCCAAATGAAAGATTTGCAGATTGGAGCAATTGGTGGAACGGGAAACTGGCACATTGCTCGCTGCTGGCGATTGCTGTGGTTAAAACTTCAAAAGCAGCAGGGCACGGGCGGGTGCATTGAGACAAGAGGGTTGGAAAGGTTGGTTTTGTGGGTAAAGCATTGGGTTCAAACACAAGAGCACTGTGTTCATTTCCCAGCTGTACCACAGACTCTTGCAACACATCACTTAATCAGGAGAGATTACAACTTTGTCCGGTACCTGGCAAGCAACGGCGATGCCATTGCCTGTATTTTCTTTGCTCCTCTACACTGTAAGCCTCTTTGAGGGACAAACAGGGACTGTATGTCCCTGTTTGCCTGCACAGTGCCTTGCTCCGTTGAGCACAGCTATGTATTATTGTAGTACATAAATAAATACAATAATAATAGCACGGATTGGGATATCACTGAGCGAGTGTTGTCACTGGGGGAAGGGAGAGGGAGGGGGGCTTGGGGAAAGAGAATTAAATCAAAAGTTGGGGGGAGTAGTAGATAAGCTGGAGGACAGGATTCAGAGTGACCTCGACAAATTGGAGGATTGGGCCAAAAGAAATCTCGTGAGGTTCAACAAGGACAAGTGCAAAGTCCTGCACTTGTGCATGGGATTATTCCATCCTAAATGCAGGCTGGAGGCTGACTGGCTTGGCAGCAGCTCTGCAGAAAAGGACCTGGGGGTGACAGTGGACAGTAAGCTGAATATGAGCCAGCAGTGTGCCCGTGTTGCCAAGAAGGCTAACGGCATCCTGGGCTGCACTGGTAGGAGCGTTGCCAGGAGGTCAAGGGAATCGATTCTTCCCCTCTGTTCAGCACTGGCGAGGCCACATCTGGAGTCCTGTGTCCAGTTTTGGACCCCCCACTACAGAAAGGACGTGGACAAGTTGGAGAGAGTCCGGCAGAGGGCAACAAAAATGGTTAGGGGTCTGGGGGACGTGACTTGTGAGGGGAGGCTGAGGGAACTGGACTTATTTAGAAGAGAAGACCGAGGGGATTCAGAGCAGCCTTCAACTACCTGAAGGGAGGTTGCGAAGTGGATGGAGCAGGACTGTTCTCAGTGGGGGCAGACGACAGAACAAGGAGCAATGGGCTCAAGTTGCAGCAAAGGGAAGTTTAGGTTAGATATTAGGAAAAAAAATTCTTACTAGAAGGAAACTAAAACACTGGAACAGGCTACCCAGAGAGGTGGTGGACTCTCCATCCTCTGTGGTTTTTAAGACCCTGCTAGACAAAGCGTTGGCTGGGATGATCTAGTTAGGGATAGTCCTGCTTGGGGCAGGGGGTTGGACTAGATGTGACCTCCTGAGATCCCTTCCCACCCTCATTTTCTATGATTCGATGATTCTAAAATGTACATTCCTCTTATTCTCAGTGTCGTTTTGACCTGACTTATCGCAGACAGCTGACAGGCTGTGCTGGAACCGGTCAATTTAGCTATTTATTTAAGTATGGTATATTTGAGGGTTGTGGACAAATCTCAGACAAACCCCAGCATTTTCTGCCCACATGAGTGTCTGAAAGCCCTTTGGCATCTTCGATTGGAGTGGGACGTCGCTCTCCGTTGATGAGAGTTGGATGCTGCTCGCAAAGTGGGTGTCCTGGTCTGTGGCAGAGTTTGTGGTCTGCCTGAACAGTCTGCTGTTAGTGTAGTATGGGATTTCAACATCTGTAAGCTGTTTAAAATCCTGTGAATAAAACTGCCTCCTTTTCCTCCCAGTAAGTGGTGCATGGTTTGCTTAACATCTGGGCAGCTGGGACAGTGATGGGAACAGGCCGCCGGTTTCCTTGTTGCCAACATACCATCTTATCCAGAGGATGGCCGTCCTTGAGAGAGTCATCATATCAGGGAAGCAACTAGGGAGCTGGGTTTCTTTCCAAGGGAACACTGTGAAAAACCTAGAAGTGTTGATTATTTAAACCCCGCCCCCCCCGAGATAGGCACATACACTCTACATGCTGGGACTTCACATTGCACTCCTTGCAAATACACAAGACTAGACTGGGCACGGGAGGGAGCTGCACTTAACAGGACCCCGGCTTCTCAGTTATTCAGTGCAATTGTGCAACTCTTCCTCTTTCTGCACTGAGGTGATGCCAAGGACGGGAGGGGAGTAGAGGGGGGGCGGGGAATGACCGAGCATTTTAATTTTGTGTCTGCGTGACAGCAGTTCAGCTTCTGCCTCTCTGTTCTGGCAAGCAGCTGTGTGAAAGCAGGCTGGAAAGCTTACTGGTGTCTCCAGTCCTGATACTGTTTCCTAAAGAGGAAAACAAGCAAATATTCAGACAATGCCCCTTGCAAACAAGTCCCCGAGTGTGCTGGAGCATAGCGAAGGCACAGTTGAATACGCACTCGGTTTGTTTTCATACCAAACTGGCTTCAGCTCTCTGGATAGGAAGAGAAGATGTGTCTGTGGTTTTGGTCGGTAAATAGAGCTGTGTGGGTGTGAAATATGACAGTTCTTCTGTGGGTAGAAGTGTGAACGGTCCCTTGGGTCTTTTTTTGCATGTCCCAGCATTGCTTACATTTAAATTTTGATGAAATCTTGCAGGCTCAGAAAGAAACTCAGCTGAAATCTTTTTTGAAAATCAGCAAGTCTCTGCTTTCTGAGAGTTCGTATCTGCCAAACTGTCTAGGCTTTGGGGCTTGATTCTCCTTGTTTACAGCCAAGTAAATGAGAGGAGAAGCAGCGGCTGGGGCGCAGTTCTGCTCTCGGTTCCAGCTGTGTAAAATCAGAGTAATACTGCTGACCTGGCACCAGACCTTGGCCCATAAACACTTGAGTCCCCAGTGGTCCCTGAGACTGGGCTCAGCTTAGCAGGCCTGGAAGTTAGCAGGGGTCAGACGTTATCTCTTACAAAGCTGTGTCCTAACAAGGATTTTCTCCTGCTTCAGCAAAGCGTTGATGAGACTCCAGTGGAACTTAAGCCTAGGCTTAATGTTAAGCACGTGGTATGTACTTGGAAGACTCGGGACCCTTTGGGGCTATATCTTATGGTCCGTGTGATGCTTTATAATCCCATCTCCTAGCAACCACAACCTTCTTTAATTGACATTCTCCCTCTATGCTTGCTTCCTTTTTCAGGCACTCTCTGGACCCCATTATTATACCTGGGGGGACCACGGTGGCATTCTTGTGGCAATAACAGAGGGCACAGAGACAGACCAGCTCAAGTAAGTTACCCAAGCCTGGCATCTGTTGACTGAGATAAGGAGAGAACTTGCAAGAGATCTGAGCTCAAGAAAACAAGTGAATGTTAAGTAACCCCCTTAGTTTTGTCTCGATAACTCACCCATTAACTTCTCCCCTGTCCCTTTTTTTTTTAATTCTCGGGAGAAATTTCTCACTAGGAAAACAGGAGTAAGCTGTGGCGCCCAGGAGATGTTCTTTGGTGCAGGTGTTCTTTGCATCGCCTGTCTTTGTGCATGCCCGGACCCTGTTGTTACTGGCTCTGTGCGCTTGACCTACATGAATGGCTTTCTTCCCACTACCTCTGTGGAGCATTATCCCCCATTGTAGAGATGGTACTGCGACAGACAGGAAGTTCATACAGGAATCTGTGGCAGGGCCAGGAGGTGCAAGCAGGTCACTGGGTCCCAGCCCACTGTTCATCCTCAAGAACATCCTTTCACTTCTCTTTTTGTGCCAGTGCAGTATCAGCAGAGCCGAGCGCTCGTCACAGAGTGCAGCGGCAGAGGAATTGCAGGCAGCAGAAGACCTTATGTAGCCAAATCTTCTGTTAGACTCAGCATTGCTCACACCACAACTGAACGTCGCCATGCTTCGGACTAGAACGGCTGCTTATAATTTAGTACCGGTGTTTTATAAACAGCCACCCTCCTGCCTCTTACAGAGGGAGCAGCAAATTTTACCAGAACCTGTGGTATTTGGTATTTATCCTGAAGTTTCTCACCTAGAATAACAGAAAATGAGGGATGGAAGGGACCTCAGGAGGTCACGTCTAGTCCAGCCCCCTGTAGGACCATCCCCAACTAGATCATCCCAGCCAAGGATTTGTCTATCCGGGTCTTAAAAACCGCCAAGGCCGACGATCCCACCACCTCTCTGGGTAGCTTATTCCGGTGCTTTACTACCCTCCTTGTGAAAGAGTTTGTCCTAATATCTAACCTAAACTACGTGTCCACTCCAGCCTCAGTTTATCCTGTGGCAGTGAGTTCCAGGGGCTTCTTATCTAATTGTACAACCTGAATAATATCACTTGTCTCTTGCACCCAGAATGGTGCTCGTTCTGCTTCATCACACTGTCCATGACTGCACCATATGCTTTGCCATGAATACCATTTATTAACCATTAATCTCAGGCCCTGATTAATACCATTTATTGCAGCACGTGGTTCTTTGGCATCTACGTGTTTCCTGTTTGTTCTATCCAAGTTTTGTATCCCCTTCCTTTCTCTGTCTGGCACAAGACTCGTCCCTTTCACTTCTCGATTTCTCCACACCCCTGACTGATCCCTGGCCCTCTCCCTGGTTTCTGGGATCCCATCCTTGTCAGCTGGATTGTCAGTCACCTTTCATGATACTTATAGCAGCAACTCAGCTGATTTTCAGTTTGTTGCCTCACTCGCTTCCCCACTAGTCACACAAAGCCCTGCACTGTTGTGAGAGCAATGTGCATGGCAAAGAATGGCTTTTTCTCTGGTTTTGTAAGATTGGTGCTCCTGCTGAGCCTATATCATTACTTTGGCTCATTTACAGGCTGAAAAACTTGCACCCATATGTGGTATGGGATTCACCAGCATGACTTTGCTGAATGAGGCCTGTAGCTGACTAAATGATGGTGGAAAATTGCAAAGAGCTTTGGATTGCTGGGGGAAAAGACTCTTGAGCCGTGTCCACATGAGCAGGGCGTGCATTTGTAGCAGCACAAATAGTAGTAGCACAAATTTGTGCTGTTGCTTTGTGCCACGGTGCATGCCCCTGCTTGTGTGGTTTGCAGCGGGACACATTGTGCCGCTGCTCCGTGTGCTGCAGGGGGGGCTGGCTGGGGTACAGGGGGCTGCAGTGTGGGGCCAGCCGGCAGGCAGCCCGCGTACTGAGGCACCCTGTGCCCCAATTGGCACGTGGAGACAAGGGTGGCCTGCTCCCTCATCTCTGCGTGCTGCAAAGCCCCAGCTGGGGCAGCCATCCTGAGCACCCTGGGCTGGCTGCTCCCCCGTTTCGAGGCAAACTGTGCCCCAGCCAGCTGCTCTGCCTCAAGAGTCCAGCCCTGGAGTCTAATTTACCATTTCCCCTTGCTGTTAAATGTTTGGGTGGAATTTTCTTGGGGTTTTTTTTTTTCTTCTGTGAACACTCAAGAGGCTTTTTTCCCCTCTCAGCTGATCTATACCGGTGAATTGATTTTACAAGCTTAATTTTTAAATGTTAAGCAGGAGACTATTGATTCCAACAAGAGTTAAATAGGCACCAGAGATGCACATTTAGACGGAGCATGCCCTCTGGGCTCCACAGCTTCAGCATCTAAAAATTAAGAGCCAAAACTTCTGGTGTGTTATATAAGCATCATTAGGTGTGTGTTGAGGGAGCCCACATGCTGCCTTCACAGATCCACTGTCCCTGAAATATCATGGCACTTCAGGGTCATTTTTCTGTGACAAGGGGAAGAGAGCCCTCGGGAGAACTTTAATACGTTCCAGCTCACATCTGTGAGGTTGGAAACCACCCAACATCTGTCAGATTTTGTACCAACTGTCACAAGCTCTGGCTTTTCTTCCTCTACAGAATTTCAAATAATATGGCAACACTTGGCTCTCGTTTCCCTACGGTGTGCGCGCGTGCGTGTGTATGCGTGCACATGTGAGAAAGAAGCAGTGGCCCTTACAGTCTCTGCATCTGCTTGCTGTCCTTTCTGAATACTGTCATGGTGTAAGCCGGTACATGGGACACCAGATTGGGAGTCAGGAGACCCATCTCCTTGTCCTGACTCTACCAGTGACCTTGAGCAAGTTGTTAGACCTATTTGCACCTCAGTTTCTCCTCCTGAATAACAAGGCTAATGGTCCTGACCTTCCTTTGTTAAGCACATTGAGGTCTGCAGATGGAAGCAAAGGGATTAGGGCCAGAGATATTATGCTGTGGTTTTGAAAATACCTGATTTTAGCAGTCTTTGCAAGTTTTGAAATAGGCAAATACATCTCTGCTGGATTCCTGTTTTTATAGCAGTGCTATATCCTTGTCTCTTCCCTTCCAGGTATAGCACAAATGAAGGGGAGACCTGGAAAACATTCACTTTCTCAGATAAGCCAGTATTTGTATACGGACTGCTTACTGAACCTGGGGAGAAGAGCACTATATTCACCATCTTTGGCTCCTACAAAGAGAATGGCCACAGCTGGTTGATACTACAGATCAACACCACTGATGTGCTTGGTAAGGGAACTGGCATATAAAGCGTTCATATAACTGCTCTTGGAGCCTGCGGGTACCGTGTATTGATCCCAACCTTTTGCTTTTCCTTCACGATTCAAACCCGCTCATGTGTATTGAAAAAGCAACAGGTGCTGTTGCTTTCCTCACTGACTGTTAATATGGAGACAGGTAGGACCGTGGATAGTTCTTGCATCTTTGCCTCATAGACTCATCACTTACCTACAGAGAACGACAAAGAGAGGCCGTGAACTACTGATCTGAGCTATAGGATGAGACTTTCAAAAGCATGTAAGAGACTTAGGAGCTCTAGTTCCACTTTTCAAGCCACCTTTGGAGCCCAGTTCTCATCGCATGTCCACGGCTTTAGGGCTCTACCGACACGGGCCTCTTTGCAGGACAGGGCCTGTTGCACAGAGGTTGTCACTCAGTTATTCATGCTGAGTGACATCTTGTCCCTTTCTCCAATTCTGTGTCCCTGGCTCACTGTTCACATAATATTTTCAGTTTGCAATGGTAGAGGAAGTTGGAGCTGGAGAGAACAAATGCAAATGTGCTTAACTCTTATACTGGCAGGATTTTAAAAAGCAAAGAGGAATAAAAAAATCCATTTCTGAAAGCCATGCCCATGAATGTTTTATAACTGATTTCAGCTTTGATTGCGAAGTAGCGTTTTAATCAAAGAACGGTTAAACTCGGCAGAGGAATTTGCTCAACTAAAATTTATAACCAATTCCCCCGTCGTTCGGTTATGGATGGATCTCTTTGGGAACTGGCACGGCTTCATTTAAATAAGGCATTGCAAATGTGCCGTCATTAGCAGTGGAGTTGTTTATTCCCTTCTGTCACCCAACGTCTCTGTTTTCCCCTGTGCTGCGCACTTTGAATTGAAATCGTCTCCGTTTATCTTTTGTTTGGGGCTGGTGCATGCTGGTATCGCTCCGTTGACTTGTGTGGAGGTCTTGATGATTCACGCTGCCGAGTCGGGGAGAGAGAGGGAAAAACAGGATCTGGGAAAGAAAAGTGCTGTTGTAAAGTACCTGATGAACAGCCTTAGAAAGTGATGCCCTTGCTACATCCGTGCAGAAGGGCAAGGAGCTCCCTAAACCTTTAATGTGTCCTGACTTGGATGGACCACCCAGGCAGAAGGAGCCATTTCTAGTGTCAATTCCTTAGCCTCTCTCCTGCGACTAGCAGCGTTGGTGTTTTTCTTGGATACGGGCACCGTTCACAAGACACGGTATTGAGATTGACTGCGTGTTTTGCCCTGGCTGTTGAGCAGTTGTCAGCTGGTAATGGACTTCCGCTCAGCCAGAACTGAACGGCTGAACTGGAGGTGGGAAAGGCTTCATTGTCCAGCCTCTGCGCCGTCCAGTTAAATGCTGGGCGTAAGGAGGGTTCAAAATGCACTTCTGCACTGAAGCAAAAATTATCCCTTGCATTACTGGGCTGGACTCTGGGGAACTTGCCAAGGCTTCTTGAGGAAAGGCATCCTCCTTTAAATTGCAGTGTGTCAGCAGAGAAGCTGTAAAACTAGTGCACCCTCGCACTCAAGGGCATAAGATATCAGGGCATCGGGATCTTGATAAGACAGAACACTTGGCCTGATTCTCCACAGCCTTTTGTGGCGATGTGCACCCATGCAGAGCGCCAAATGTCAGGAAATCAGCTGACTTTCAGAGGCGTTTCACATCTTTGGCTTCCATCTCAGTAATAGTTACAAGCGCTCACACTGAGGCCTCTAGCATTTTACACTGAACACATAGAAATAATAACTTCGGGTGCAAGGACGAAAGGCAGTCAGACGCCACATCTTCCTAAATCCTGAGTTTTGGTTACAGAGAGACTGTGGCTTTACTTTAACCCAATCCTGTCATTTGTCACAGGAGTGCCTTGCACTGAAAACGATTACAAGCTGTGGTCACCCTCCGATGAACGAGGTAATGAGTGTTTACTGGGGCATAAAACAGTTTTCAAAAGGAGGACTCCTCATGCGACTTGTTTCAATGGAGAAGATTTCGATAGACCCGTGATGGTCTCCAACTGCTCTTGTACAAGGGAAGACTTTGAATGGTAAGTAGCAATTAATTTCCCTTAGTCTGGATTGTAATTCTAAGATAAATATCAGTGACTAATAGCATGGAGTGAACAAACAGATCCAATTTATTTAGCTCTTTCTATCCACCGCCGGTTTTATAGCAGAGAGGAAACGAAATAGACTGAAAACATCCCTTCATTAATGGGGAGCATGAGACTTAATTAATGTTTTTAAAGCACTTTGAAAACCTCTGAAAGGTGCCGTGGAGGAGCACAGTGTTATTACTTTATCACCTCTTTAAAATGAATGAAGACAATTTCCCATTCAAATGTAGAGGCCAGCTGTAGAAAAAGCCAAGAGACCCTTCAACCAGAGTGACGCAACTGGTGCTGCCATATAATTTTATTTTTAATTTACACTTCAGTGAAACTAAACAACTGTCAAGATAAGGGAGCTTTGCTGCGACAGGCAAACGGAAAGGGGTTTTCATTAATGAGTGAGCTGTTGGGCGGGCATGAGCCAGCCTTTTGAAAGCTCAGAGCCAGATTTTTCAAGGGCTCATCTCCCATTTAGGTTTAAAGAGGAATGGGACAGACTGGGAATCAGGACTGCTGGCTTCTGCTTCCCAGTGTGACAGCCCAGTACCGTGTAACCTGTGGGCAAAATCATCTGAGTGGTCTGTGCCTCAGTTTACCTGCCTGCAGTTATAATGAGGCTCTTCTGTAGCACGTTGCTTGCATGATTTTCAAAGCCTTTTATAGCGAAGCGGAGCACTGCTCCCTCCGTATTACTGGGAAACTGAGGCAGGGGGCGGTGACATGACCTGCTCGCTAGAGTCCCAGGCCAGTGCCCTCTTCCCAAGGTCGTGCTGCTACTCTAATATGCCAAGCTGTTGGGAGGCTTGTTAGCTGGACACACGCAGTGTGTTTTGAGATTGCGTGATGAAAGCTGCTGTCTGATCACAGCGCATTATTATTAATCTGAATGCTAATGCTAAGCAGATGAGTGTCCCAAGCCCTTAGTTGGAAAGGACCTGTGAACATATCTGTATAACATCACAACATTTTATTTTTCTTTCCTTCCTCCCCTCTCAGCGACTTTGGCTTTAAACTAAGTGATGATTTATCATTAGAAGTTTGTGTCCCTGATCCTGAATTTGCTGGGAAACCATTTTCCCCTCCTGTTCCTTGCCCCGTTGGCTCAACTTACAGGAAGACAAGAGGGTATGTACTGCGCATGGGTGAGGAACTTGATTTTTCCAGGACAGGGCTTAGGAAATTTCTGCTAAAGGAAGGATTGCATTAATACAGATTAACTGGGATACAAGCCCAGGATCCACAGTATAATGCATGCTAGTCTGTTGTAAATCCTGCCAGAACCAGTTTCTTGCATTAATTGCATATGACAGTATGCTGACCGCCTCCTTTAAAAATTGCACATGTATTTATACATTCCAGATACCGCAAGATCTCTGGGGACACGTGTGTGGGTGGAGACATTGAGTCCCGACTAGAAGGGGAGCTGGTGCCGTGCCCTCTAGCAGGTAAGTGGGCTTGGGAGTATTTTAGCCATTCATTAAGTCAGTGATTGTGTGCCTGCCTGCCCAAGGACTATATAGAAACTCCTATGGGACTTTCAGAAATCTGGCCAAGGCACAGGAACAGCAGCCAAAGTAGCTTAGTAGGTAAATAACCCAGGGTCTTTTCTCCCTTTTGGATTCCTGATAGGGTTTTTCCAGGCTCATCCTTGCTCCTATTCAATTAAGGGAAGTTTCTGATTTTGGAAGCTGGAATTTCATTCTGAAGTGCGATGAGGTTTGGATTCTCCAGCTCATTAGAGGTCAGATTAAAGTCAGTCCTGGCTTTCCGTGCCAGGCCAGGGTGACATTTACCCTGCATGCCACACTAGTGTGATTCAAGAAGAAATTGCCTCTTCCCCAGACACAGAGGGCACTGAAGAGATCTTATCCAACCACGTGCTGCCAAGGCTATTTGCATTCTGTTTGTTAGAGCCTTAATTTAATCTTCCGTCATGAGCAGGATGATTAACATGCCATTGCAAGAGAGAAAAATGTTTTCTGCACTCAGTGGCCTGATCCAAACCATGCTGAAGTCATTGGGAGACAGACTCGATGGCTTCTAACCAAAGCCAGCTAAGGTCAACAGACTGTCTCCCAGCCCTCCAACTGATCTGCGTTATATAGACAGGCAGGGCATGGTAAATACAAATGCAGGGACATCCCTCGGCAAGAGCAAACTTCACCTGGCTTTGGTACACAATCCAGAACTGAGATTTTTCAAAGGAGCCTGAAGGATTTTAGTATCCAGTTCCCATTTTTATGGAAACTAAATATCTACTTCTCTTTTGCCTCTTCTGCAAGTCTTATCTGAATCTTTCTCATGTGCAACAGAAGTTTAAGATATCCATTTCACGTGAACCCAGGGGTGCCATAACAAATACAGACTTGGAATGGAAATGGGAAGGACAAATCTGTTAGCTAGAGAAGACCTGTGCCCTGGCACAAGGAACATTTTGCTCTGTAGAGTTCTTGCTGATACAGACTTGGCTTTTCTGCTCATTATTTACAGAGGTTTTAGTCATGCTATGCAGATTTCCCCGGCTTAGGGAGGAAAACCTTAAACTTGGCAAGCATTTCAGGTGTTTATGTATGGGGTGCACCCAGGATAGCTGCTGTTGCTCTTTGGATGTATGTTGCTTTGCAGGGTGGCAGTTCTTTCTGCTATAGCATTTCTGCATACCTATATAAGCTGGCTAAGAATAGCTGGTGAGTTTTTGTTATTACAATTACTGGTATAATTAATATTACTGATGTTTATTTGTATTGCGGTAACGCCTGCGAGCCCTAGTCATAGACTGTAACTCCATTGTGCAAAGCACTGTACAGAAAGTCATGTATTATAGTAGAGCACAAAGAGTCAGTCAAGGCATCATTGTGGTGCATAAGCATTAAATGAATTTAGCTCCAGTGGAAGGAGAAGCTTTGATTTTTCTAAATTGACAAAATAGCAAATGCGAAGAAAGAAAAAATTGCAAAATCATTTCTGCAATTTTCAATCCCTTTTATCTGCTTTGATAATATTATGGCAATAATATTTTCTTGTCACTTTTGAATGTGAATGACGGTAGTTGGTGGATGCTGATGTATGCTAATCAAACCTAATTTCCCATAAGATTAAGGGTTGTATTCTCTTTTATGTGAAAGCCTTTAATATGCAGTTTTGGTAAGAAGTGAAAAGTTTATTTGCTTTATCCTCAGAGTAACTCATGGCAAAAGACTTCTGTATAACCAATTCTATGTTTCCCTAGAGGAGAACGAGTTTATTTTGTACGCCACACGCTACTCTATCCACCGTTATGATCTTTCTTCTGGAATAAGTGAAGAGTTGCCTCTAACTGGCTTGCAAGGGGCAGTGGCCCTGGATTTTGATTATGATCACAACTGCTTGTACTGGGCAGATGTAACGCTTGACATCATACAGGTGAGTGGGCACTTGGTCCATCTCTATATAGCATGATGCTTTAGGATGTTTTCCTAGGAGACTGTATACCCTATACGTTCACTAATGAAAAATGTAGCTGTAGTCAGGGCTCTGATATACCCTTCAAGGTACACTTCATGAAAATAAGGCCCTAATTTAACCTATTTTAGGAGGTTAGTCCCATCAGGGATTTCTCATGCATTATACAGGCCAGATCCTTGCTCCACTGATTTAAACCAACCTGCTATACCTGATTTGTTGGCGGTATAGTGGATGCTCGAAGAAAATTCCTATAGGAAAGAATTAACATGTATTGCAAACTGGGTAAGTTGGATTCTTTGTCTGCACCTCGGGCTTGAAACACATAAGTGCCCTGGAGTCAGGGGTTAGCTTTCCTGCAGGGTTGACTCAGCTCTTCAGCCTTCTACCAAGGTAGAGAATTTCAGTTGATTTTGTGATGTTCCTCAGGGCATAACAGTAAAACCCATTGCAAAGCACTTTGCAAAGCACATTCTGCCTGCTTTGAATGAACACAGAGGACAGCATGTTTCATCAGAGGAGCATTGTCCTCTGTTGTCCCTAGGCAAATTTTTCTGATACTTCTCTTGTGCTTAGTACCTGTTGTCTAGCTTGCTGCCTGCCACCACCCTGGAAGTGAATGCATTCACTGGAGCCATAATATACCTGCTTTGATATGCAAATACCATGGATAGGCTTCTCTCTTCTATGGATTTTTTTTAATTTCCCGCCTCAAACAACTGTGTGCGCTAATGTTAAGGCTTTTTTTTTCTCTCTTATAGCGTCTTTGCTTAAATGGCAGCTCTGGACAGGAGATAATCATTAGTACTGGCCTAGAAACAGTGGAAGCTTTGGCTTTTGAACCTCTCAGTCAGCTGCTTTACTGGGTCAATGCTGGTATTCCAAAAATTGAGGTATGTCTACAACTAGTCTCCATGATAAGTAAATTCACCCACACTGTTGAGAGTCAACCACGCTGTAAAGCCATTAAACAGTGCGTTGCCCCGAGTTTGCCATTGCTGTGGCAGGAGGCTGAATGCTTTGTGTCTGGTCAGGGGCATTAAAGGCACCTGCCATTCGCACCCAAGGGTTCAGCATTCAGATATATTGGTATTCTATGTTCATAAAATGCACTAGGATTGGGGCTTGTGCATTTAAACTGGGATTGTGATGTAATTGTATTAATTTGGCAGTCTGGCTGAACAGCCAAAAAAAGGGGATTTACAAGAATGTTCCAAGTAAAAGTGGCAAGTTCTTTCCACTAGCGTTGGTTGTTTGCTAGTGCTTGGTGGTTCCCTCATGAAAATAATGGTGAATCCTAAAAAACACACGGATTTTAGCACCAAAGGCAACTCTCCCCAAAACTGGGTTTCTGGTATTCGCTCTCCCTGGTTTTCCAACTTAAAAGTTTCAGTTGCCCAATCAGAAAGTAGAAATAATACCATGTGGTTGAAGGCAGGTGACAAATTACTTCCTGTGAGCAATCAAAATGAGGAATCCCAAGCAGCCCATTGGCTGAGGTGTACTGGTATAAGTTTGTTCATCAGCTTCTCCCAATAGCGAACACATTCATCAACATTAAGGTCAGATTCTGAGTTAGTGGCAAACATTAGAAGTGGGTAAACTCGACTACTAATTTACCCATGACAAGTTATTTGAGCATCTTTAGATGAACAATCTCCCATGTGTAATGCGCAGGGATTTAATTAGTTGCACAGAGTGCATTATGGCGCTAAGCAGTTGGTTCAGTAATGTAGGAATGACATAAATAAAGCAAGCCCATAAACTTTTATCACCTGCCTTAAGATAACTGTTTGTCATGCCCATATACTTTGAATGGCCATTTGCTATATGGATGTAATTAAATGCCGTAGAATTTCATTTAATTTTAAACAATGCAATTGCTTTCCATATTGCAAACAATAAACTTATCCCTGTGTTTCATGCTATAGGTTTCCAACCCAGATGGAGACTTGAGATTCACTGTTTTAAACTCTTCTGTGCTTGAACGGCCCAGAGCCCTGGCTCTGGTTCCCAAAGAAGGGTGAGTAGGACCTGTGTGTGATTAGGTATGCTCACATGTCTTATTAAAACCAACCAAGAGAATCTAGTGCTTTTCATCAATATTAAATTAATACAAGACACTAGTATTGTGTCTTGGACATGCTCTTTTGAAAGCTGCATTCCTCTGCTTCGACTACAGTGAGGGTAACTGAACTTCACTTGAATTCGGGTAGGGATCAGCTTTCCATTTTAGCCAAACTGCACTTCACTTACCATAACTTCCTACCTGCAATGCTGTTAACAGCAGAGAGCTGGGCTATTCCTTGCATGTATGTGAGGAATTCACCTAACCACTCATCTTCCCAGGACCAAGCTGAATGCAGGCCAATTGCCTTATTATCTGCTCAGCTTCTCAGTGGGTTTTGCATGCTGGACTCCCTGCTCTCCTGGCCACAATGCTCCCATAACACAACTAGATTGTTTAAAGCCAGCTGAGGTACATCTACAGGGACCCCAGCCAAGATATATCCATGGTTCATGTAGTTTAGACACCTGGAACCTACTCTTTGTCCTGGGTGAGTCCTAATTACAAAGGCACGTTCTTCCTTCCAAGAAGGTTTGAGGGCTGAGATCTCTTGCACTTGCAAGCCAGTTTTGATGAAGCCTTTCATTATTATTTTCAATACACTCTTTTCAATGGCCCTTATCAGGTTGATGTTCTGGACTGACTGGGGAGACTCAAGACCGGGCATTTACAGAAGTGATATGGATGGTTCATCAGCCAGCTGCATCGTCTCTGTGGGAGTGCGGTGGCCAAATGGCATTTCTGTGGACGATCAGTGGATCTACTGGACAGAGGCTTACATGGACAGAATTGAGAGGGTGGATTTTAATGGAATGCAGAGATCCATGATCCTGGACAGCCTTCCGCACCCTTATGCTATCGCTGTATTCAAGGTATTTGTGTAGCGGTCTCACAATGTAGGTATATATAATCAATCACGTCATCGTATATGCTCTTCATTTTGCAGTGTGTTGGGAGTTAGGGCTTTTGGACCCCTGTTAGTACTGGCTCTCAGGGGTTAGAGCAAGACATTTTCCTTGGATCTGCATTGCACATGTTCAAACAGACCCCCAAATCTCAGAGCCTGGCTCAGCTCAAACTACTCCAAGTTGGAATTGAAACTGGGATAGACAGCAGGCAGTATGAGGTGGTGCCAGGCTCACTTTAGGCTCTGTCCTAGTTTGGTGAAGTTGTGCTGTTGTCAGCAGAGGTGGCTTTTGTTTCAGTGCTGCACAGGTCTAGTTTTAGGCCTATCGTACCGTATCTCCTTTGGCTTTGAGAAGGATTCTGATATACCCATTCTCCTGAAATCTCAAGTTGAGAGCCAGGGTAGGCTGGAGAGCTGCCTTCTTGTCTGAGCCTGGCTTCATATTCATGCTATACCAAGTTTTGCTCCTTTACTGCTTGTTCCTGCTTGATGGAAACAACAGGATGTGAATAAGAGACAGAAAGTTGTTGGCAAATCATTTGAAAGCAATACATCCCAGGGTCCCCATCTGTAAACCAGGGAATACTGCTCCAGCTTTGCACTGTTTCAAAGTTGCATGAAATGCAAGAGACAAGTTTAAAATAGCATTAGCCATATATGAAACAGGAGACATTACACTGCAGCTGACTTTGTGAAACTGGTTGTCTGCATTAGTTGGCTTCACTAACAACGAGAATTAAGCAGGAATTCCTGATTTTTAAATCTTCTTCCAAAAACAAAATGGTATGGGGAGGTCCCAGCATTTGGAGTCCATTATATTTGCTTATCTGCACCAAAGCCTAGTTTGCACTAAGGAGCAAAGCTTGTGTTCCAGAATGAAATCTACTGGAACGACTGGTCACAGCTGAGTATTTTTAGAGCATCCAAGTACAGCGGATCGAGAATGGAGATTCTGGTTGGCCGATTAAATGGGATCATGGATATGAAGATCTTTTACAGGGGAAAGACAACAGGTAATTGCGAGTGTGTGTTTGCCCAACCTTTCCTATGTGAACTGTAAGGCTAAGATGTTCAAAAGCCAACAAAGTCATTTGGAGGTTGAGTTCCATGAAGAGGGTTGTAGGTGTGCGTCTGTCTCCTGTTACCTGAGCCCCTCCTAATCTGTCACACAGTCTGGGTCACAGAACCGCATGAGACAGGGGAGTAATTACCCATTTTACACATGCAAATCTAATGCATTCAAAACCTTGCCCAAAATTGCAGGGGAGGTCTGTGATAGAGATGGGGATTGAAAACCAAGTTTCCAAGTCCCATCTGTTTTCCAAGTCCCATTTCCAAGCTCTAGCCCCTGGCTCATCCTTTTTCAGATTTCCATTGTGCAAATGCACCTGAATCCTCTTGAGGACCTTGAAACCTTAGCTGTAATATTAAGAAGTGACTCTTTGTTGATTGTGGTCCTTTCTGGGAATACATAACAGTGTGATGTGTGTTTATAATTATTTCTTTATCACGGCTTAGCATTAAAATCATAGAGGATGTGTCTCTCTCATTCATTCTTTGTGTCCCATCAGTTCAATAGTTGCTAATAGTTATTATCATCTCATAGCTCATTAGTAACCCTGAATGAAATGAGTTGTTGAGTCTCACCCTGAGAGACAGGTATGCATATACTACAACACCCCCCCACCCCCCCTTGCCCCTGTTGACCTTGAGTTTGTTGGCACTGGATTTATGACCCAGATACCTTGTTTGGGGCAGACCCAAACCCTCAGAGTGACCACGACCTCTGCATTCAATAATAGGCAAATTTTATTGATACACAGTGATAGCTTGGAAAAGGAATTCCCTTTTTGACCAGGCAGTGACACAGATGCATAGCATTCAGAGTTACAGGTTTGGATAGAGCTACAGCAGATGCATCTGAATAGGGATTTAAAGTAGCACCTTTGAATGACCTCAGGCCCATGCATAGACCATTCCCACCAAGACTTCCCAGTTTCCCCGGAAATAATGTGGACTCTTTCTGATCACTTTGAAGCAGTCACTGTTAAATTATGTTTAAGCCTCAGCAGGTTCTCAATCTAATCTGAAAGAGTCTGTAAATGCAGATTAACAAGCACTTGAGCAATTGTGTTTTCAAGCACTCTTGGTAATGTGGAAGCCAGTGATAGCCTCTCCTTGCCTTCTGGTGCTTTCATACGTAGTCTTTGGAAGGGGATTCGTTTTGAGCTGACTACAGAGAGGCTTGCACTTCTTAAGCTTTTCTGAACTGCAGCCCGTGCAAACAACAGGCAAAGGCTTTGAGGCCCTTTTCTAGTCTAGCTTTTAAGAAATGGACAGTGACCCCAAGGCCTGGATTTGAGAAGTCTGAGGAGTTAAAATGAAACATGAAGCAGAGGGGGAGAGGAAGAGGCTTGTCTCAGTTTAGGGTTGCTGTTACCAGTTCCATGTATTGCAGTAGAGCATAGGAGCCCCAGTCAGGGATTGGGACCCAAATGCGTTGTGATCCCAGAACATCAAGGCAAAAGCAGTCTCTGGTCCAAACAGCTTGATTTGCCTTCCTCCTCCCCATAATCACTGTTCACAATGCACCTGTGTGGTGGGTCTCATGTGCTCTCACTAATACCAGCGGGTTTTATCTTGCAAGACAGAGAACATGCTCCCAAAGTCCAAATGAGTGTAAACCTTTACCTCCAAGGGCCAGAGTCGAAACCTAATACTGTAGGGCTGGTTTCCAGAGAAGCCAGTAGAGCCGCTTGAACCAAGAGGGTGATCCGAGACCAAGGCCCAGGCTCTATGCAGCGTGTGGCCGTGCAGGATACTGATGGTGTTCCCCCCAAACAGGGCAGAACGCCTGCATTGCCAAGCCTTGCAGCCTGCTCTGCTTACCAAAATCAAACAATGGCAGGAGCTGCAAGTGCCCAGAGGGAGTCTCCAGCAGCCTGCTCCCATCGGGGGAAGTGAGGTGCGACTGCCCACGTGGCTATCGGATGAAGAACACCACCTGCATAAAGGAAGGTAAATCTGCATCCAGCGTAGCAGGAGATGAGTTAAAATCACTCGGCCAAAAAACATGGCATTGGGACTAACCACCGCTTGTTTGTTCTTTTGACACGTGCTCTAGAAAACACCTGTCTGCCCAACCAGTACAGATGCTTCAATGGGAACTGCATAAACAGCATTTGGCAGTGTGACAACGATAATGACTGTGGAGACATGAGCGATGAGAAAAACTGCCGTAAGTGCCCCCCAGGTCACTCCCCGATGCGGGACGGTTTATTGAGGCAGTTTGGGGCGTAAAATGCTGTAACGCAAGATGGAGGAAGGAGAAGTTATGGTCAATCCATGTTCCTTTCAAGCCTTTCGGCTTCTTGGCCAACTAATAGAAAACGCCCCAGTGCATTAAAGGACAAAGCCACCTATTGAGAGAAAATCAGGCAAGACCCAGTGAACACAGGACGTGAGAGAAGTAGCTGAGCTTTCCCAAAGCCTGGGGGTTTGGTTCACTCGTTATATAAATAGAAACAACTTCAAAATTTGGGTCTGGATTTAGAACCGAATGTTAAGCTTGTTTTGTGCCCAAGGCATGTCGGCACCTGCAGCTCAGAGTCAGAAGCCTTTACCCTTCTTCAGAGTTTGACTTTATGGACAAACAAATGAAATCATGACAAAATCCAGGCTTGACCAGTCTTAACAGCAGGCTTCTTTGCCCGCCTGCTACATGCTCAGACCAAAAGGCTCATCTTGGTGAGGACAAGTCAGTTTTGAAGACTGCCCCCTTAGCTGTTCTTTTCTCTGGCTGATGGGCTCACTCTCCTGGCTTGCTGGTGGGTGTTGCAGGGTGCAATTGGTTTCAGCTCTGTCTGCAGGACAGACCATGAACCCCTAGCCTGGCGGGTCTAGGAGGAGGTCAGTGAGCATATCATCACGCTGCTGTGTGTTTCTAATTGAGCTAGTTGTAAGGTAGTGGGAGTAGCTCTGATGATGGGTGCCTCCTTCATTGCATTTTTCTTTGTTTTTATTTGAACGCACTTGACAGGCGAGTTTGGGTGGTGGAAGGAGTTACTTAAATGACAACCTTGAATCCCCCCCCTTGTCTCCTCATGCATGTGTTAGCCACAACAGTGTGCGACGCCGAGACTCAGTTCCACTGCCAGGGCTCAGGGACTTGCATCCCGCTGTCCTACAAATGCGACCTTGAGGATGACTGCGGAGATAACAGCGATGAAAGTCACTGCGGTGAGTACGCTGAGGAGAGCCAGGAGCTGTTTGTCTCCGTCAGATGTCTCTCCCCTCCTCCATCCAAGGGAGAAAAAAAGCCTCGTCTCATACTGTTCTTTCTACCCTCTGGGATGTGAACCTGCTCTCACAGAGACAGAAAAGGTGGAAGGAAGAGAGGAGAGAGCTCCTGTGCAAGGTAGGGCCACTCTAGCACTAAGGAGAGCCTGGGGAGGCACCCACGCTTCACACTGACCAGCTCATCACAGTCCAACCCCTGCCACATATCTAGGTTGCTCCTTTGCTAGTGCCAGCATTGTGCAGTGGAAAGGGGTGAGTTGCACAAGAGAACGGAGCAAGAAAGTTGCAGTGATAGCTCCTTTCCTCCCACCTCCCTGAGACATGCTCTGAGCCAGCAAGGGGCTCTTGTATCAGTGCCCTCATATTCCTCCTCCAGGTGCTTAAGCCAGGATTAGACACTGCTTGTGCAGCCCCCAGGTCTTGAGACTCATGCCAAAACACCTTGAGACACCCCCATCCCCTCCCCATACCTCACGCAGCTCCAAGGTCTTTGTCACCAAAAGCCACCATGGCTGCAGATGAAGGGGTGTGGCAGTAACACCTTTACCCCAGTGCCTCCTACGGTGAGAAACCCTTAGTTCTCCAGGGTTTTTTGCAGGCAAGGATAGGAGTCAGAGCTCCCTGTATCAACAGCCCCAGCCTCCTCCCATCAAAACCAAACAAGAGCCCTTATTAATTATAAACAGTCAATGGCACAGTGTCAAGTGGCTCCAGTTTGTGATAGAGAACAGTGCTGCACTTATAACCCAGCCAGGTCATTACAACCCTTGCAAAAGAGCTTGAAATCCCAGATTGCAAAGGGGGCTCACAGCTCCATTTTCTGGGGCACCTGAGCCCCTGCAGCTCGCAGCCACTTGAACGGGAGTGCATGGTGCTTAGCTTTTCCAGCTGGCAGACTGTCTGCCTTGAAGAGTTCACGAGAGGTGGGCTGTTAAATCCAAATGAGCACAGAGGATGGGAATCAGAATGACGTGGTAGCGGTTGGTCTTTCAGGACTAGAAACCACACGTTAAACAAGCTTTCAAGACTTTGAACACTTAGGCTGCTGGGTTTGTAGTTTCAGCCTGTCCTCCTCAGCTAGCAGCTCGTGTTGGATTTCCACCCCCTCTAAACTCCATGGGCTTTGTCCACAGAGGCTCACCAGTGTAGAAACGATGAATTCAGCTGCAGCTCAGGGATGTGCATTCGTCTTTCGTGGATGTGTGACGGCGATAACGATTGCAGAGACTGGTCAGACGAAGCAAACTGCACTGGTAAGCGCTTTGATATGATCGATAACCCTGTGCTGGAATTGCTTGTTACAAGCTGTCACCTGCTTTAAGCATCTTTAAAGGGTTTGTATTAGGGTAGCGCTTTGCATAGAAGAGAGCAGCCTATGTGGGAAGATGTCAGTTTAATGCTTCAGAGGCAGGAGATTGAAACTGCCACTGCCAGATTGCTGCTGCATTTTGCATTAGTGACTACTGTAAGGGAAGGCTGATTGGCAGTGGCGTGAGGTTTAAAGCAGAATCCTCCTGTAAGTAAAGGACAGAGCCAGTGTCCTTTGAGGTCAGTGGAAGGACAGCTTTGGATCAGCTGTTCATAGAGCGCACCTAGTGTAATACAGTGGTTCTCAACCTTTTTGGTCTCAAGGCACCCCTTGTTAGGCTCAGCTCACTCCTTTGAAAATGTCAGCTCTTAACTTTCACTTGTCTTTTGACTCTGGAAAAATAATAGAATGGGTCTTCTCTTGCAACACATTCAGAAAGACCCCATCTGAGTCGTGCCAAGTATCCTGCCAGTCAGGTGTGGTAGGTGCATAGCATTTACATATTAGGCCCAAAGTGTATTCAGTCATGATTAGTTTCCAATATGTTGAGTCCTGCAACTTAATTGTTGCATGTTGGCTGACTCTTTATCAAGTGCTTCCTTCATTGTATACTTTTGCTGGGGTGCCCTGGCAGATCCCAGTGTTGTGGCCGTAGTGCCCTTTCCTTGATTGCAAGAACTGAAAAGCTTACACCGCCTTACAAGTTCTGTTCAGTCAGTAGACATAAGGGTGCCGTTGGTCCTGGAGATATGAATAAAGACACTTTCCCTTGAAAAGGGCTTGGTGGTTACAACATGTAGAGAGGTTGGTGTGCACTGACCTAATTTCCCTGCTTGACCTGTGATCATTTTGTGAACATTAAATAGTGTGAAGGAAACAGGGGGTTTCTTTATGACTTCTAAGTGATTTCTTTTATCCAAGAGATGGGCCTGCTTAGCTCAGACAGCCACTGGTCTTCACATGGCCTGGCTGCTCTTCACCCTAGTCTTCCAGCTTCAGACCTGAAGTGGACACGACTAATAAAGATTCATGTACTAAGGCCACGAATCCCCTTTCATTCACATCATACACTAGTGCAACATTTATGGAGTAACTGGATTTGCCCCTAATTGCAACCAGGATTACATCAGGCCTTGCTTTGATTCTCCACTTACATGCTAGAATCTGCCTAAAGGGAGCGAAGCTTACACCAACAAAAAGCTAAAATGAGAAGAGTCCTGAGCACCCACTAAAATCCAGCCCGTTTCTAACCACTGAACATTTATTACCTCCTCTCCGATGTTTTTTGTTTAAAAAACTTCAAGTACTTGCATGGGGAAGAGATCTCAAAATGATAGGTGACTTCTTAATTTGGAGGATAAAGGCATAACTAGATCCAAGTCACAGCAAAAACGAGATGCAAGTGTTTAGTGTGGAAGCTAATTAACACTTGAACCCTCTAATCCAAGGATGTGGGAGCTAATCCAGCACTGCTAATCAAGGTTGCACTTCCCTCTAATATATAAACGATAGTTCAAAAACAAGTTATGGGTATAATATAGAAATTGCCGCGTCAGGTTCTGTTTCCTGTTTTAGGCAGGAGGTCGGGTAATCACAATGGGAACGTTTTGCTGCATTTATTGAAGTAAAAGACCTTTTGATACATGTAGGAGGTTAGCTCAGGTCAGACACACAGATTATGGTCCTAATCAGTTCTGCAAAAGCAGGGGACTGAAGTCTGCGAACAAGTTTGAGATCTTCCTATTAAGCCCAGTTGAAGAATTTAACATTCCTCCAGCGTACGCGCCTGCAAGTACTAAGCTAGAGATTCTGGTCATTTGCATTCCATAAGTGTGGCTATGTAAGGAGGTTAATTTATATTGGTCTCACTTATCTCTCATATGAGTTTCTCAAAGAGAATTACTACAGGAAGGGAACCTACTTCAAAAAGCGTATCATTTTTGTTAAGCCTGAAGTTGAAATTATCTAAGAGGATCGCAATTATTTGAGAAACATTTCATCTGACTCCACCAGCTGCATTTATTGCTCTTATCTGAAATAATTACATTTCACACTGAATACCTAATAGAATATTACCACCAGAAGATTTGTATTTTGTAATATCTGGAAGTGCACGTCACTAGCTAGGCTAAAATGTAGCATGCAGTTTAATTAAGTTGAGCGTTGCTTTTCTCCTAGATAACAAATAATATTATCTGTCCTGTTACCTTTTTTTTTTAATTGAAAGAAAGCATGCAGTAGATAAGGCTGCAAACCTTGTTGTATAAAAAAATATCAAATGAAAGACGTATGGGAGTTCAGTACCCAAAATCCATTGTAATCCAGAGGAATTGGGTCCCTAATTCTCTTAGGCAACTTTGCAAATTCCACCTTAAGATGGTTAAGAATGTCTTTGAGACCTCAAGTATAACTAGGAGGTTCTCTCTTTGCCAGGTTAGACACTTCTGTGCATCTCCTCCCTGTTGGCACTGGATTTATGACCCAGATACCTTGTTCTGGGCAGACCCAAACCCTCAGACCGGCCAGGACTTCTGCATTCAATAATAGGCAAATTTTATTGATACACAGTGAGAGGAGATAAGAATAATGCAGGCAAGGCAAACTAAACAATCCCCCTCCCTGATTCTATATCTACCAGTTCTAGGGCTGTCACAGAGGGAAGGTACATCTGGCCAGCATGTGAGCTTCACCCTGTGATTCTTTCTTGAATCTCAGATGTCAGCAGCTTGGAGGCCGAGGGCTGAGGCCCACCCTCCAGTGGGGTGGGTAAGATGGGCTGGTGGTGTGCCCTCTATCCATCGTGGCCTCTGGTTCCCCCCTCAGGTACCCTTTGCTATTCTGAAATCCCTCCTTTTGTATCCTTTCCCTCCTCTGATGACTCTTCATTCTTGGGCATTGTTGATTGGGCCTCTCTCTGGTCATCATACTGTTCATGTTCTGCTCTGTCAGCATATTCCTTTTTTCCCAAACCCATCACAAGCACACATTTTAACTTGGTCTGTCCACCAAAACTGGAAATCCCAAGGGCTCTGCAGCTGGGCACTGTGGCCTAGCCGGTGCGGCAGAGTCCCTTATCTCGTGGTATGGAACAGTGCGGCACATATCTTCAGTTTCTCAGCCTGTGTGTCTGCTGGCTTCAGACATAGCGGGCCTTGAAGGGAACCTTATGACGAACAGGATTTTAGAAACCAATTAACCCTTACTATATTGTGCTAATGCATTATCTACTTTACCTACAAACCAATTCCCAAAAGCAAACCTCTAAATATCATTTTCTAGCCATCATTCCCTGTCAGCAGGCAGTGACAGTATTAATAACCTTTTTGTGATGGCATCTCTTGTGCATAAGAGTCTTGTTGGCTCACTGAAAGGTTACTGCTGTCTCCAGCAAGGTGCAGGCATCTCTGTACCTTTGCTAGCTGACACAGAGGACTGAAGAGAGATGTGTATGACTCTAGAAGTTCTCCAAGGTTTTAGAAACATTAACTAACCTCCAAAAACTACCTGCTGAAGTGCAGTTAGTCAGTAGATAGTGTACAGAAGGATAACTTGTGGCACATGGAGGATCACACTTGACTTGCTGGAATTGCATAGCAAGCCAGTAGCAGAGCCAAATAAAAGCAGGAGCCCCTGTTTCCAGGTGCTTGCCCTAGGCTCCAGGTCAGAACAACCCAGTGCTGTAGATAAATGAATAGACATTTAAGTTTGCTGTAAAGAAACAAAACAAAACAAAACAAAAAAACCCCGTAAAGCAATATGGTTTATTTATGTAGGGTCTAAGGCAGTGCCTGGTGACCTAAATAGGACACTGGGTGAAGGCTGTAGTTAATGCTTTCCCGGTTGGTGTTCAGCAGTATACCATACATGTGAAGCCTCCAGTTTCCAGTGCCGGAACGGACATTGCATCCCCCAGCGGTGGGTCTGCGATGGCGATGCCGACTGCCAGGACAGCTCCGATGAGGACCCTACCAACTGCGGTAAAAGCTCTCGTCTCACCTTGGCAGGGGTGGTGGGAGGGACTGTTGTTATCACTATCCTATCCACCGTTTTATTAAATGGCAACCAGCTCTGGGACTCTGAAACAAGGTAAACAGCCTGAGGAGACCCCCAGAAAACCATCTCTCTTGCCATAAGTGTTGGTTTTATTGTAGTACTAAAGAGTCCACAGCCAAGATCAGGACCTCATTCCTGCCTTAGTGGGCCTATAGACTGACACACAGTCTACACTGCACAGTTTTGTGATCTAGCTGTGTTGGGCACGAGTATGAAAAGTTCCCATGCTCACAGAACTGGCACTGAACCCCTTTCTGCACGCAGCTATGCCAGAAAGAGGGCTCCTGCCTGCAGAGATGCTGTCCTTTGGAGAGGCAGAAAAACACCCCCTGCTGTCATATGCTGATTTGTTGGCAAAGCTCCATAACATAGACAAGCCCTACATAGAGAAAAGAGATGAGAACTGCAACTAATTCTGGGGGACGGGAGGAGCGTAGGGTGCTCCTAAGATTTGCTCATTGCATCTTTGTTTTAAGGAGGAAACTGAATTCCTGTTTTGTCCAAAGCATCTCTCTGGGGGCTGAATTTCTTCCATAATCAAGATGGCTTTTTCAAATTCTGTTTTCAGAGAAAAAATGCAATGGCTTCCAGTGTCCGAATGGGACCTGCATTCCAACCAGCAAGCACTGCGACGGGATGCACGACTGCTCTGATGGCTCAGATGAACAGCACTGTGGTAAGCACGCAGCGGGAGCTTGGGTTTGACGGGCCAGGGCCCAACCTCTGGATCAGTCAAGTACAGATGAGTGCTTGAAAGGAAAGCAAAGATATAATGTAGTGGGGGCTGATTCCTTAAATTTGTGACAAAGTGCCTACACCCTGATGCAAAGGAAATAAGTCTGGGTAGATACATAGGTAGTAATGGTTCATCGGAGTTATCAAGCCCTTTGTGAGATCCACCTGCTGTATTTGACTCTGTAAATCAAAGGAGATAATTAAATGCATAGGGATCAAACAACCACAGACCTTTCAGAATAGCACAAGGTTTCTTACCACAAAGTACTGAATTTTCATCTCTCTCTCACCCCACCAACCCTCTCTGTTTCTTCCAGAGCCCCTTTGTACACGTTACATGGACTTTGTGTGTAAGAACCGGCAGCAGTGCTTGTTCCACTCCATGGTGTGTGATGGCATTGTCCAGTGTCGGGATGGCTCAGATGAAGATGCCGACTATGCTGGATGCTGTAAGTATGGCAGAAATCACAGTGCCTTGCTCTTACCTCACACCCAGTGCCTTTCATCCTGGGGTCCCAGAGCACTCTACGAAGGAGATGAGCATGTTGCAGACAGGGAAACTGAGGCACAGAAACCAGCTGCAGGGCTGTGACTAGAGCCCTCATCTCTTGCGCCCCAGTCCAGTGTTTTGTCTACTACCCTGCAATGCCCAGAACAGAGTAAAGTAGGATTCCTGTCGAAGAGGAAAGAGGGGTTTGAACAGGTCAGCTCTGTGCTGTTAATGAATTAGCAGAGCTACTTGAGCGCTCAAAAATCCCCGTCCTGTCCTGGGTGCTGACGCACATATCAATGCAGTGCTGGTATTGACAGTCTGGGTTTGTGTTGCTCACTGTTTTCAGTTTCCAAAACTCAAGGGATGAGTTTAGGTTCGTGGGATACAGGAGACCAAGTACAGCAACTGAGCTGTTTCATCAGCTGACCTTTTGGCCTTCGGCCCTCTGTTCTGGCTTTGTTAGAGCCTGGGATGGGGCTAGTAACTTCATCAGAAATATTCCAGTGCGGTGCCCCAGAGACCAAAGGGAGTGCACAGCCGGGGTGGACAAAGGGGCTGCCAAGCAGCACTTCATCTAATCCTGCCTCTGGCAGTGGCTAGTGCCAGGTGCTTCGAGGAATCCTGCGATGAGGATGATTATTGTAACTCCAGGCAGTCAGTCCATGCTTGTTTTATGCCCCGAAACATATTCCTTATGCATCAGTGTGTTCTTGTAAGGAAGCAGCGTAGGCGTCCTGCGCAGCGGCATCATCTGGGGCTAGTGCGGGAGAGTGCCCTGTCCCCTTTAGAGTGCAGGCATCAGTGCCCCTGTGAGGTGAGGCCTTGCAAGCCAGGAGCAAGCAGCAAGACTACCGCTGAAGCCAGCAGCAGTGAGGCTGACCTCCCCTCCTTGACGTGGCTAGTCACACTCAGAGTCCTGCACCTTCGACTCAAGTGCTGATGAAAAAAGCTGGATTTTGCACGCTTCTCTTCTAATGGCTTGTTCTGCATTGCCCCGCTTAGCACAAGACCCAGAGTTTCACCGGACCTGCGACCAGTTCAGCTTCCAGTGCCAGAATGGCGTGTGCATTAGCTTGGTGTGGAAGTGTGATGGGATGGACGATTGTGGGGATTACTCTGATGAAGCAAACTGCGGTGAGTAGAGACTCAGTAACCATCTCCGATGGCACAGGGAAGAGCAGTGACTTGCCCTAGTTGCCAATCCTGCATTCCCTTGACTAGACCATGCTGCTGCCCCTCACCGTTAACCCAGTGAGGTCTTCATAATCTGGAATCAAAGATATTCTTCCTCCTTTGGTTGACTTGAAGCTATGTGTAAGCCTGCTCGTTGCAGATGTTTAGTCCATCCTGTATTTGAGCTCCAAGTTTAATCACTGTTACGTGGAAGCACAGCCAGGCAAGACAACCACATGTTCATAAATTTACCTGCCACATTCATCCCTCTGTTTCAGTGACTCAGCTTTTACCTTCTTGTGCTACAACTGGTTTTCAGTAGGAAGCTCTTTGGACCAGAGACACAGCTATTGTCTGGCTATACGCAGCTAGCACACCTTGACTGCAGCATAAACACCAGTAACAAAACCATAGTAGGAACTTTTAAGGGAAGGGCTTAGTTTATCGGGGGGGAAAAAACCCTCACTGCTTAGGAAGGCTGGGGGACACCATCCAGCAGGGTTCAGTCACAGGTTAGGCCAAGCCCATATCTCTGCCATGCTGAGAGCACTTGAAAATGCGAGACCTCACATTTCTATTCTGTTGTTAGAAAATCCAACAGAAGCCCCAAACTGCTCTCGATACTACCAGTTCCAGTGTGCAAATGGGCACTGCATCCCGAACAGGTGGAAATGCGATGAGGAGAACGACTGTGGAGACTGGTCGGATGAGAAGGATTGCGGGGGTAAGGGCAAACATAGCTTCTTCCCTTCTCTCTGCTGTTCATTCGCTCGTCGTTAAAGCAGCTGGTCCCTGCCAGCGAGGACTCTGCTGAGATCATACCGTGGCTCTGGGTACACAGAACATGCATTGCAAATTACAAGCAATAAAAAGTAAGGGATCTCGACTAAATCGTGTCTACACTACACATGTCCAAACAAGTGCTGTGGATGCTTCCTGTTCAGCAGAGCCTCTTTTGGGGCTGGCCTCTTGTGCCCAGCTTCATTAAACCTGTTTAGAAACCACTTAAATTAAACGGATTCAGCCTTCTTGGTGTGGCCAGTTTAGGGCTTTGTCTCTACAGGGACAAAGTAATGCCCTGTAAGAGAGGGGGTGAATTTACAGTGCAGAAACTCCTCACACGGACTCTTTTGGTGTCATCTGAGAATGACTTTGTGTAAGGGAGCTCTCTCCATTTACTGCCCTAGCATCACAAAATAGTTTTCTGACTGGGTTTAGAGAAACCTGTACGCCTAGGCCAGGCCCTTTGTGCAAACTAGTGAGCTCAGGGCTTGGGTTCTGTGGAACAGAAAGCAATTGCCCTGCCCTGTGCGGCCTGCTGTCCTCAGAGGCTTCCCCCTTGCCTCTGTCAGCTGCCGTGTAAGTGGAGCAATCTGCCCTGCCCTGAGAGTGTGCTGCACACATCTAAGCAGGGCCTGATGTGCAGTGGCTGGTGTGCTGGAAATGTATACCCTGGCTGACTGCAAACAGCCCTCCCTGTGTATTCTTGCCCTGCGTGCGTGCCCTCGGAGGCTACGTGCCATTTAGCGAGTGGTTTTGAAATCGGCACGCACAAAGGAGGCCATTTAGATCTTGTGCTTTGATGTGAGCTGTTGGGCTCGGGGCACAGTGTGAATTAAACAGCAAGCAATTCCCCTGCCTCACGTGGGCTGCAGTCCCTAGAGGCTTTCCCTGTTCCTCTTTCAGCTGGGAGGAGGAGGAGGCTCGGAGGCTCTACTGAGTCATGTGACAGGCAGGTAAGTCCTTAGCCCTTTCCTGGCAGTTTGATGTGGCCACACAAGGCAAGGCACCAGGGTTAACCTGGCTACTTAGCCCCAAATCCTGCAATTGGATTTGCTCAGCCAGACCTGTGCGCCAGTAAGGGGTCACCTTGATT